GCCTGTGGTCCCAGCTACTTGGGAGGCGAGGCAGGAGACTCGCTTGAGCCCAGGAGTTGGAGGTTGCTGTGAGCTGTAATGCCACCGCACTCTACCCAGGGGTACAGCTTGAGGCTCTGTCTCAAAAAGAAAAAGAAAAAGAAAAACTGGTCTGGATATCAGATGAAGTCCTACCTAGGATGGTTTAGAAACAGTGCGTGCAAGGTGGGAAGACTAGCTCAGAGGCTGTGACTGAAATGATGTAGCCAGGTGAATAGAACGTAGTCATAAAAGGGAGGGAAACGTTTTTATTTTTCTCGATTTATTTTTTATTTTAATTATCATGGGTACATAACAGTTGTCTGTATTTATGGGCACATGTGATGTTCCAATACAGGCATAGATGTGCAATAATCAAATCAAGGTAATTGGGGCATCGATCACCTCAAGCATTTGTCATTTCTTGGTGTTAGAAACATTCCGGTTCCGCTCTTAGTTAAAGTATACCCTAGTTATGGTTGACTGTTGTCACTTTGTTGTTCTATCAAATATTGTTCCTTCCATCTAATTATCTACCTCTATTCTGCACCCATTATCGTTTTTCTCAGAGTGAATATTTAGAATCTAACTGGATGGGGGGCAGAGGGAGTATCTGAGGAGTACGTGACAAAGGGGGCCTGGTACCCTTAAATCTGTGCACTGCAAAGCTGAGGAGTGGTTCTGGGAAAGGAAGGTTCATGGGGAATAAGGGAGTGTGGATCCCCCTGGGGTCGGGGATGTGCATTTTAAGCTTCAGGTGACAACTGTCAGAAGCACTTAGAATTGTAGCTTTGGAAAACAGAAAGGAGGGTGAGCCAGACTGAGGGTGTGGGTGTTATCCACTCCATGGATAATCAACAAAGAGGCCTTTGCCCAGACAAAGCAAAACCATCAAGCCAAGTAAAAACTGGAGCCAGGAACAACATGAAAATTAATTAACAAAGGTGAAGCCACTTCAGACCCTCATTCTTATTTGATAAACACTTACACAGCTCTCACAATATCCTGGGCATCGCTCCGGGTGGATGCTTTATAAATATTAACTTATTCAAATGTCTTTAAATCATCCCTAAGGTAGATCATATAATGATCACGATTTTATAGATGAGGAAACAGCCACAGACAGACCCAGAAACTAGCTTGAGGCCCGAGCTAGCAGGGAGGAGATCTGGGCTGCCACCTGCTGAGTGGCCGGGCCTAGCCACACCTACACAGCTCGGCAGAGGCCCCTGCAGACAAGGGGGCTTAATTTGGGTGCTTCCTTCACATCTGCCTTGATAATAATTCTGTTAGCAATCGTGCTATCAAATGACTTCAGGAATTCTGGAATACATTCCTGACGTATAGGACCTGAAATTACCATCAGGCACTGGGGACCTCTCTCAGGCAGGAGTCATACTGTGTAAAACTTCCACCACTCATGGAATCATCTCCCCATAAATAGTTCAGGTGCTATTGCTCCCACGTGACAGGTGTGTAATATGGCTGGGGTAAAAAGAAGTGATCCTTACACTCCAGTGCTGCAGTCACCAACCCTGGGTGGTAAACCAGTAGTACCAGTCTGTGGCCTATTAAGAACCTGGCCACACAGTAGCGGGTGGGCAGCGGGCAAGGGAGCCTCATCTGCTCCCTTTACAGCGGCTGGTTTCCCATCACCACCTGGGCTCCACCTCCTGTCACATGAGCAGTGTAACATTACATTCTCATAGGAGCGTGAACCTTACAGTTAACTGCTTGTGCAAGGGATACAGGTTGCACACTCCTTATAAGAATCTAATGCCCCCCTACCCAGGTCTGTTGAAAAATTGTCTTCCATGAAACAGGTCTCTGGTGCCAGTGAGGTTGGGGACCACTCCTTTAGTGTACACACGAACCACCTAGGGTTCCTGCTACACATGCAGATGTGTTGCTAACCAACCAAGTTGGAAGGTCTCTGGGGAAACCCTGGGAATCTGCATTTCAGCACAGCCAGATAAGTCCTAATCAATGTCTATATTCTGCCTAGTTGACCTGGCACCTTGAGCTTAGAGATATGTACACAAGACCAGTGCCAAAGGGGAGAATGGAAAGTTCACTCCCACAACCTTCCAGATGATTTTTCTTCACACTGGGCCCCTTAGGGAAAACTGATTGTTCATGAGTGCTTGGAGAGATTACAATAGATAAATCATCAGAAGGTTTTCAGTGCACAGGAGTGCACCGAACACAGTATACTCATCTCAAAGAGCAATCCCTTATGGGGAAGGAGACTCAGGCAGTGACAGCCTAAGAGCCTCCTGTGGCTTTCATCTTCCAGAGCTAGCTGACACCAGGGGCAGGTGCCATAACCAGTGCCAAGAGGTAGCAGAGCCAGGCCTCTAGGCCTGCATGCTATCAGCCTCCTCCCCACCCTCTGACAAAGCTCTGTTTACAGTATTTTCCACTGGTCGACACCATGTGTGGGCCACTCTAGCTGCAAAGAGCTATTTTAAGGACTAACATCTTGAGTTCATACAAGGATCTCAGGTTGATTGACCAAATGATCCTGCAAGAGTCTTGTTTCACAACTTGGAAAATGCCCCCAGCTTCACCACTGCTCAGAGGCCACCACCGCCGGAAGTAGCTCTGACCCCTGGTGCAGATAGGAAAGCACAGCACTCGTCACCTCGCTCAGTCACTATCAGACTTGCAACCTTAGGTCCTTCCCCTAATGTAGCCCATCAGACTAATGGGGTGGGGCTCATCAGGAAGTTTCTCTGGGGTAACTGGACTACTCTCTGGGGTGCTCAGTGGAATTTATGATGAAAACAGAGAGATGCTGCAGGCAGCGTGACCTTCAGGGCCCACGTGGTGCTGCCCACTGCCCTTAAGGTTTTTAATCCATAGGCCTTTCCCTTTAGGAGGACAGATTTTGGTGCCCCTTATCACCTGCAGATAAAAAGTCCCCATATTCAGGTGGGCCTACCTGTGCATTCCCAAGAACCAGTTAAACAACTGGCACTTAGACAGGCAATTAGTCTCTCTTCGTTAAATGAACAAGTATTTTTCTTAAGCCAGGGTTTCTCAATCTGGCACCATTGACGTTTTGGGTGGAATTGTTCCCTGTTGTGGGACTGTCCTGTGCTCTGCGGCAACCGGGCCTTCCCCACTAGATGCCAGCAGCACTGTCCCCTTAGTCTTGACAACCACAGTGTCAAATGCCGCTTGGGGCCATCCGGCCCCCAGCTGAGAACCACTGGTTCATATAAATGCCCATCTGTGTCTTTTTTCTTTTTCTTTTTGTTTTTGCTGAATTATTACCTTTGGGATCTTGGGACTTCAAACAAATAATATATTCTCATTAAGAGAGTCTGGGAAATGTATAACAATACAAAGAAAAATACAAAAATTACCATAATTGCAATACTCAGCCAGTGTTGCTACCATTTGGTGGTATCCCTTCAGTCTTTTTTTCTGTGCTTATACAAGGTGGCCATAAAGTCACTATTTTAAATTGCACACTAATTTCATGGCCACCCTGTATTAAAAATATACCCACATTGTTATAAAGGCAACTGTATATTATATACACAATATATTCACGACATACATAATTCAAATAACATAACAAATTCTAATTGCTAACGGTAAAATCTCATAACACACACATAGAAACGCACTGGGTGTGACTTGAGCTTAGGTACCTATGACAACACTGGGAAATGCTGTTCCAGGCACCACTGACTTTGAGACCAAGGTGTAACTTACCCAAGTATGTGGCTTCTGGTAAGTCACTCCCCTCCTGCCAGACCTTGTTTGTAGAATGGAGACAGTCCTGTCCTGTCCAGCTCTTCAACTTGACCTCAGGGCATGAGAATCAAGGGACATGCTGCCAGCCAAAGTGCCTGGGAGGGGCAAAGCACCTGTGCAGATATGGGGAGTGTTACTCTGTGTGTGTGTGTAACTCAGCCCCAGCAGCCCCTGCTACAGCTCCATGGGGTGACAATTGGCTCTTCCTTCCTTTGTGTGCCTCAGCTGCCCCACAGATGACACTGTCCTTGTGCATGAGAACGGGAAGGATCACAGGGCAACCTTCCAATTCAACGCTTTCCGGTTCCAGAACATCCCCAAACTCTCCAAGGTCTGGTTACACTGTGAGACGTTCATCTGTGACAGCGAGAAGCTCTCCTGCCCTGTGGTGAGCCGCCCCTGTCCTCAAGGCCAAGTCTATCCAAATGGGGGCTATATTTTGAGCTGGGAAATCATAACCAGCCAGTGCAGTTGTGCACTGAGGGTTTCCTGGAGGAAATGGCACTGGGTAGGGCAGACACTTCAAAGAGCAAGGGAGACTCAAGGTCTGGGCAGCAGGGACAGGCTCTGGACATAACTCAAAAGGGGGACATTATCTGTCTTGATTGGATAGCCATCTGTGAAACTCCAGAAAGATGCTGCAGAACTTCCAGATCAAGACTGATTTGACCGTGTGATAGGAAGGCCCAGAAAATCTGTGCTTAACAAGCTGCCCTAAGCCTGGTGCTCACTCGAGTCTGAGAACCACCGGCTTAGCCGCTTAAAGGGGTGTGGAATCCCAGACTGTTCGCTTCCCTGGTCTCTCTGGACTGGAGACCTCAGTGTTTCCAAAGAGGCTACCCACCCACAGAGTCCACAGTCACACAGAAATGAGATTATAATCTCTACTTCTATCAATTCATTGGACCAGAAAATGTCCCTTTATGAGCACAAGGAGAAGAAGGGGAAGAAATCAGAGGGTGCAGGGCGGGGGAGAGGACAGCAGAGATGTTATGCAGCTGATCAAAGGGTGAGGATTGATACCAGATTTTAAAACAAGAGAAAGACAAGAAAAAAAGTGAACCAGAGCACAATTTTCAAGCATCCACTTCCCAAAGCACTGTGATAAGAGTAACCATATGTAAAAAGCCTTATTGAAAAAAATGATTCTTATCAAAAGAAACAAGGGTCAATCCTTCCACCCCCAATGGAAGACCCCTCCCAGAAAGATCTCTTCCATCTGAGGAATGAATAAAGTAAAACTTTCTCCATTTACTCAAGTTGGGAAAAGGAATCAAAAATATCTCCCAGGGTTGTTCTGATTATTATTATTATTATGGAGAGGTAACTAATATCAGTTAACTGGGGAATCTTGACTCCATTCAGTTCATGCCTTTTTCTTAAATCTCTCTTTCTGTTTCTCTTTTCTCTCCTTTGTTCATTTCTCACCCGTACACCCTTCCTGGCCCCTCTGGGTCTCCAGACCTGTGATAAAAGGAAACGCCTCCTGCGGGACCAGACTGGGGGCGTCCTGGTCGTGGAGCTGTCGCTGCGGAGTAAGCCACCCCTCTGTTTTCCAAACGCTTGAGTTCATGCTGGGCTGCGCCCACAGGCACAGCCAGTTTGAGCATTTTGAGTAAATTGCCAAACCAGCTGTGCCTGTGGGCACAACCTTCACCTGCTCCTCAAGGCCTCCAGCAGGGGGTGGGGACCCGTGCAAACCACAACCCGGAGTCCAGGTTTGTTCACTACCCTGAGAATTTCTATCTATTCGTGGCCTAAATCCCAGTGTCTCCGGAAGTGCTGAGCACACAGTGGACAGTAAGAATAGAAACTGGAAAGTGTCAGGAATGTCACATTGCAGGTCCATAAACCTTTCCTGACAGTCCAGCACTGTGTCAGGGCTGGGTGGGGCACAAGGCTTCAGACATAAGTGAGATGCCTGCAGGCCCTGTCCTCAAGGAGCTTATCATCCAGCAAAAAGAGAGAGGTTCAAAACACTAAGAGAAAGGGAGATTACTCTTAGAGGGGATGAGGGCAGATGCAATGGGAACACAGGGTGTGCATCCCTAATCCAAAATGTTCCAAAATCCAGAACTTATGGGGCACCAACATGAAGCTCAAAGGAAGTGCTCACTGGATTTCAGATCTTCAGATTAGGGGCGCTCAAATGGTATACTGCAAATATTTCAAAATTTAAAAAAGAAAACATCTAGGCCAGACACAGTGGCTCCCACCTGTAATCCTAGTCCTCTGGGAGGCCCAGGCAGGTGGACTGCTTGAGCTCAAGTGGATATTTTGAAACCAGCCTGAGCCGGAGAGAGACCCATCCTCTTAAAAATATCCAGGCGTTGTGATGGGCACCTGTAGTCTCAGCTACTTGGGAGGCTGAGGCAAGAGGATCACTTGAGCCCACAAGTTTTGAGGTTGCTGTTAGCTATGATGCCACAGCACTCTACCAAGGGCGACAGAATGAGACTCTGTCTCAAAAATAAATTTTAAAAAATTAAAATATATATTAAAAAATAAAAATGTGAAATCTGAAACACTTCTGGTCCCAAGTATTTCTGATAAAGGATACTCAACCTGTAGATGGAAGAAGATCTGACCTAGGCTTATCAAAGACCTTGGTTGACAATCTTAAAGTATGACCTGAAGGAGGTGGTGACATGAAGGGTGGGTGGGCAGGAGGCTGTGGCAAGTACAGCTTAGAGTACAGGGGCCCAGCAGTGACTTTGCTCTTCCTGACTTTGTGCAGCTTTTATGCTCAGAACAGTTTTTATATTTTTATGTGGTCCCAAAGAAATGAAAAGGACAATGTTTTGTGGCATCAAAGTTATAGGAAATTCATATTTCGGTGTCTATAAAGCAAGTTTTGTTAGAACACAGGCAACTCATTCATCGTGTACTGCTGGATTCACATTATGACAACAGCGTGGACTACAGGCAGTGGAGATGTACAGCGCACAAAGCTCACAGTAACTACCGTCTGGGCCTTTCCAGAAAGTTTATCAGCCCACACCTTAGAGAGAAAATGTAAAAGGAAGCCTTTGTAAACCGTGGCACAAACGTTGCCTTCAAGGCAGTGGGATGCTGGGGAAGATACAGTCGGGTTTGTGTTTCAGAAACAGCTCTGAGACTTTTCCTTGCATGATCTTTTCTTAAACCTGCATTTTCTCTCTTTACTCACAACAGGCAGGGGATTTTCGAGCCTCTATAGCTTCTCAGGTAAGGAAAAGAGATACCCTGGGAAATGTCACAGGGCAATGCTGTTAAAAGGCAGACATATGTTTTAAAGGACACTTACCTTTAGCCCCAGCCAAACTTTTAAAGATTGAAGATCACATGAAAGCACACCTGAGCAGGTGGGGGACAGAGGTAAAGAAGTCTCTCCCCAGCCAGCCCTTAGCCTCTGAAGAGAGGGGGCAGCTAGGACAACTGATGGAGCAGAACTGGAAGTCTCAGCAAAGCCATCACCCAGTGGTCTGCCAGGGTCTCTGCATTTGGAGAACATGATTTTTCAATGACCTGTGTATTCAACAGATATTTGAGTTCTTGATACAGCTCTGTCCCTCCTGAACTATGTGAATTTTGTCAATGACCTCACCCCTTTGTACCTCAGCTTCCTCTGTGAAATTGGGCCTATCATTCATGATTGTGTGAATATTTAATGACAGCAAAGAGCACTGAGCAATGATCCCCAGCAAACAGCAGACATACAGCAGGGGTCGACCATCACTATGACGACTGTGCTGGGCACTGTGGCCACCACAGTGAACAAGACAGGCAAACCCCCTGCCTTTCCTAATGTGTAAAGTATACGGGGTGTGGGGGGCACCTGGATTAGGGACCCGTTAGGGAAGACCCTAGACTCCCAGAGGAAGAAACATTTCAGCTAAGACCTAAGATCTCCCCTGAATGATGAGGAGGTGGTGACTACTTGAGGAGTGGGGTAAGACAATTCCATTTGTTACCAAATTCTATGGCAGGGGTCCTCAAACTTTTTAAACAGGGGGCCAGTTCACTGTCCCTCAGACCATTGGAGGGCCGGACTGTGGGTCCTGGGACGAGTTGGCTGCTAAGCAGGACAGGCAGCGGTGGCAAAAGCACCCAGCGGGCCGGATAAATGTCCTAGGCAGGCCACATGTGGCCCATAGGCTGTAGTTTGAGGACGCCTGTTCTACAGGTAGACTTTGCTCTCATAATTACAGAAAAATCATGTAAATCAACTTTTAATTATAATCTTTAAAGAAAGTTCTGGAATAAAACACATCATGTCTATATGGCCAAGGTTTAGACTCCCATCTGACCAAGGTCCACAACCCAGATTCTTTGTACCAATACCGTGAGCTACCAAATCCCCCAAGGGGTGAGCAAAACTGACTTTGTATAAAATGTGCAGGGTTTGTGAAAACCCACGTGGGCCCCTAACTGACTCTGCTAACCCTTCGTGGAGTTGCCCTGCCCTGGCAGAACGCTTGCTGAGCGCTGCCCCTGCCCGCTCTGGTCCACAGGTGTGCTGCACCACCTCATCGTGATGCTGGGGACCTGCGCCGTGCTCGAGGAGTTAGCCGGGCAGCTGCAGCTGCGGCACCCAAAGTCGTCCTCAGCCAGCGAATGACAAACTCGCGTTTACTGTGCTGCCAAACAGACAAACGGAGACCACAGAGCAGAGAACAGCGTTTTGCCAAATGCGTGCTCCAGTGCATTTGTGAATTCAGCGATGGTTTTTCTGTGGTGCCCCACTTCTCCCTGTCACTTTCCTCTGCCCTCCCCTGCAGCCAGGGGGGCAGTCTCCTTTCCCCAGATGCAAGTTGTACTCCTTTGAAAGATATTCTAATTTTAAAAGATTAGCGTACCCAACCAAGGGCAGCTGAGCGTTTTGTGGAGAATGTAGGCCATCACCACAAAGTCAGTGCTAAATACAGAAAGCACCGGAATAGCCACCTTTGCTGAAAAGGGACTTTGTTGTTGAGTCTGTACAATTCTCCCCAAGGGCCAGAGCTGAGCCCCAGGCAGGAGGTTCCACTTACTGGGCCAGGCATGTGGGAGGTGAGGTGGGAATCCTAGTGGAATACAACAGTTGGGCTCAAAACCGAAGGGAACCGATTCCTGAGAAGCCAGAGCACTAACCTAATTTGTTTTCATTATAGGGTTTCTTAAATATACACAAACATGATACAGATACACAAACTCCTCATTTTCATAGTTGATATAAACATCCGAATTCGAAAGACAATTGCAAATTAAATAGGAGTAAAACTACACACAGAGTAAAACTCACATTAACCTCACACAAGCACATGGCATTGCCCAAATGAAACCGCTACTTGCAACATGGCTGTGGAGTGACTCCCAGGACACAGGTTCTCTAAGCGTGGTGACCAGATCCTGCACACGCCCTGTGACACTCAGAGCGCTCCGTTTGTTCTTCTGTCTTCATTTGTATAGAATGTTCTGCCTTCACTTAGCCTTTGCTCAAACACTCTGCCCGTATCTGTGTGTGTCTCCTTCCTTTATGACCGTTAGAATCCAAGCAACAAAAGACCAGAGACACAAATGCACGTGTCACCAAGGAAACCACGAAGTAGCACACCCTCGTAGCTTGGTCGCCCCAGCCATCCAGAATATGCGGACATCAGAGATTGACGTTGTCAATGACATAAAAACTGAAGGAAAGAATCCTGGAGTGTGGTAGGGAAAACCGGAGTTCTAAGTTCTTTTCCTGGTCACAGATAGACTTAATTATCGGCTTCTCGTTTGAAAACAACGTCAGTTTGTTGTTCTGCGTTTAACATATTTGAGAAGTTTTGCAATCTAACAGTGTGATGGTTCTTTTACAACTTTGGTTGGTGAACTCAGAAATTAAATTAGTTATCAGAGCTCTAGAGACTTGAAATCCATGTTTATGTAGCAATAGGTTTAGAGTAAAGATGACTCATGGTGGCCTAAACTTGTTCTCTAAGCTGGTGCTCCCAGCCAGTTTGGGAATCTTCTTTTTGTAAACTCACAATTCTTTTTCATCAGGAAAAACAGGCAACGGATTTTATTGCTCTTAGTTAAAAACTCTTAAATAACATACTTGATAACGTACTTATAGCCGTATTCACAAATCCTTAGCTGTCAGAGAAAAACAATGTCGTATTAGTTTTGCCTTATTTTATCATTATGTTTTATGATCTTGTATCTCTACTTGGTGCTATGGAATAAATAAAACGCCCAAAACCAATAACCTATGCCTGCAGTTTACAGTGTTTACATATCATGTTGATAGCCAATTCCTCAACCTTCCCAGGGGTACCTGGCACTAAAGATTGCTGGACTCACATGCATACCACAGACTTGTATAATAATTCTTCTATCCTACATTCACATTTCAAAAACTCCTGCGCTGGGTTTCTGATGCAAGGAGGGAAAGCCGTTTTGTATGGTTAACATTTGGGGAGAAAATGTCTCTTGGGTCATCCCTGTTTATAAATCTCTAAGGAAAAGTATGTTGTCCCCAGGTATCCTTGACTGACATAGAAAAGAAGCGTTAGATATAGATTTAAGAAATTGCTCTTATCGAAATTACTGGATATGATCCCTAAACACTCTCCCTTGCTTTCTCTCTCCCTATTCCTAGATGTGTGTCTGTACGCCTATGTGTGTGTACATATAGCTGCACGTATACATTTGTGTATTTGCACGTGTGTGTACACATGATGTCCGTGTATGCGCACATGTGTATGTATGTTTTGGTATGTGTCTGGATGCCGCATGATTATAATGTTCAATAAAAAGACCGAAGTAAAAAAGTCTTTATTACATGAACAAGACTTATATTAGCACTCACACACACAATACAAATACCAAGATGGGACAATAATAGACCAGTGTTTTTTCTGAGCCCATTCCTTCATCCATCTATCAATTTCTAATTAATGGATTCCTGTGGCCCCTACACTTTTGTGCGTAGCTCTATTAGTCCTTAATGTTGCACAACAGCTACATGCGCCTCCTTCTCCCTACTAAACTGCAAGCTAAAGATCAAGGGAAGTGTTATATTCTCTGGTGTCCCCCAGCCAGTGTGATAGCTGGCACAAAGTAAGTGCTTAATAAGTGCTCCTTGAATTAATTAACGTTCATATAAATAGATGGATGCATGGGTAGAAGGATGGATGGATGGATGGAGAGATAGAGGGATGGTTGGATGGGTGAATGGATGGATTGATAGATGGATAGTTGGATGGTTGAATGGATAGATGAATGGTTGGATGGGTAGATAGATTGATGAATGAAGGAATGAATGGATGGGTGGACAGATATATAGATGGATAGGTAGATGGATGGTTAGATGATTGGATGGATGGATGGATGGATGGATGGATGGATGGACAGATAGATGGGTACAAGGAAGAATGGGGAATAAACCAGATCTCTGAGGCCTCATAACAGAGGCCTTGTTTTCTTTCATGGTTGAGCAAAATGGAGTCCAGAAGTCATGATCCCAAATAAGAGAAGAAGTTATGGAGCACGAGAAGATAAATATTGGTCCACTGGCCCCAGGTTGGAGTAGGAGGGGAAAACACCCTTGTCCTCCGACATAAATGCCTTCTGCCTTCCCTCCTAAGCATCTGTCCTGATGCCGAAGGCCTTTGGGGAAGATCAGATCTCCTAACAATGAAAATACAATTATATTACCAAGCCTCTTATAATATTTGGTATCAAAGGCATTTAATAAACCAAAAAGTAGTTTATTTTTCAGTATAAAGCCCAAAAGATATCTCCACAAAGGGAGCTTAGAGGTTCAGCAAGAAAGAAAATATTCTTGGTCTCACTGGTGCTCATTCCTTCACTCGTGGCAAGTTCAACAGATAAAGGTCTCAGACACCATATTTCATTCAAATTGCTATGTACCAAATTCAGGAGCCCCCATACAGAAGATATCTAATCTAGATGTAAGGAGATGCACGAGATGAAGGAAGAAGTCCTGGAAATACATTGATGGTTCAGTAAACCTATTAAACAACCATGCGATACAACAACATGGAATCCTCTTCTTTGTATAGAAGAGAAGATAGTTATAGTAGGAATAGATGGGTACATCTCTGCAGGAGATATATTTTAAATTAAACTCTTCGGAAATAAATGAAAAAATCCACTTAAAATTCAAGCCTTGACCGTAAGAGTTTCTGCTCAGTCCATAGGAAAGAAATTAAGAAATAAAGGGGAACGGGACATTACGTGTTTAGAAGCAGCAGTGTTCCCAGGAATTCAGGGCTGGGAACCAGGCCTTCCGGCAACTGCCCTGGGCCTGTCTGCTTAAATGGCCTCCACCCTGTTGGATTTCAGGGACTGTTGACCCCTTGCGATTCTTTTCCCAAGATGCTTTCTCCTCTAGGGGCTCCTATCTCCTTGAAAGGTAATTAGCTGATAAGGAAAATAAGTACCAAGTGCAGGATGCAGCCACCTAGCAAAGAAAGGGCAGGGCAGGGCTACCCAGCTTCCTCCTCCCTGCGGCCCCTCTCCCAGAACGAAACTAGTTCACTGCAAATTCAGGATTTAATGGGTTGGAAGTACGTGGCAGCTAGAGGGGCCGCACAGAGCTGGGAGCAACACCCCGGCCCCCCAGGAAATGGACTCCCAGTCTTCAGAGTCCCCATTTCTCTGGGACCAAAGGCCGGCCAGATGGTGTCCCCTAGTGAGGATTTGACTCACACCCCAAAACCACACCTCTTAAATGGGATACTTAACATTCTGGAAGGAAGGTAAACTTGCCTGTGGCTCCACACACATCCTGAACAAAAAGACTCACCTCACAAGCTCTCCGGGACCTGAGCTTCTTCCTCAGTAAATTCGGGAAGTGAAATAGTGAAGCCTTCCTTGCCTTTCAACCAGAAAGTTGTCTGCTCTTCTTTGCCCTGTGGGAGGCAAAGGCAGGTGCTGAGGGAACACAAGCTGGGGGCTGCCTGTGATGCGGGACTTCCGGGGCCACAAGAGATGCTCCGTGAGGCAAAGGTATCTTTCCCCACAGAATCCTGTGATTTTCTTAGGCCTAGGTGGACGGTCAACAACGGCCTAAGAATTGGAGACCAAAGAATGTTGCAAAGAAAAAAAAATTTTTAAATAATAAAATGTATTGAACTCTTAGGACAAGTGGGGCACCAGGTGAAGCCCCTCACATCCATGTCCACCTTCACTCCTCAGACCCACCCTTCGAGGGCAGTATCATCACCACTCCCATTTGGCACACAGTAAAAGCAAGCCCTCAAACAGCAGGACAGGATTCTAGGTCTACACTGCTGCCTTCTAGAACATTCTTCCTCTTACCTGAAGCTCATTGGCTGGGTCAGGCTCTGCAGGTGGGAGGGTTGGTGCCACTCCCTTCCCTTTCACTCCCACCCAAACACCCCGTGTCACAGTGACCGCCCACCACTCCCACTGCCAGCGTCTCAGGAGGAGCACCTGCCCCTCCCCTTGCCTTGGAAAGGGAAGATGAGACTGTATTGTGGCACATTTCACATACAGACCGAGGCCAGGATGAAGGAAAAGGATGCAGCCGTATAGAGGTGAGGCCCTAGTACCTCCAAGGCTAACCTCAGGACCTCCTCCCTCTACCTGGGCACCTTAGACTCAGGTAAGGGGACACAGAGGGAATAAGACACTATAATTCCTGGGCTGGTGTTACTGACACTTTGTGTGAGGAACTGGACTGGGGTGTTTGAGAGGAAGCCAAGGGACCATTTGTAGCAGAGACAGGAGCATCCCATAAGGGGGATGTCCAGGTGGGACTAAGGGGGGCTCTGTAGGAGGTTTGTTTGACCATCTTAGGGAACTAAAGGGAGAAGACTGGCAGTTGTGAGGGCCTCGGAGAGACCTTTCAGATCTCTGTGCATCACTCTGTGGAGACTCGTTCCCCCGTTCATCCCACCGAGTCCCTCAACATCTCCCTCAGAGACACATGGGGCAGGATCGGGGAGGGGGGGGGTTCAGCCATCTTACCTTGACTGGAATGGTACCTCTCTTTTGCAAATCATACCCGCCCACTGCCAGCAGGGCGCCTGCCGTGCTCTGGGAGACCTGGATCCGGAGAGCTGCCACAAAACATCACGGCCTGGTCATAACTTGTCAGTGGGACCAGCGCCAAGTCTCTAATCATCAGGACTTCCTTCTAAGCCAGTCACAGACAACCTCTGAAGTCTGGGTGAAGGCTGGGCCCCCCAGCCCTGCTGGCATTGCTGAGACACTGTCGGGAGCACTTCAGACCTCAGTATGTTTCTAAACTCAGATTGGAAACAGCGGGGAGAACCAATTCAGTCTGCAAGTTGGTAATCCCCATGGGTGGAAGGTTCCCTGGGCTCCTCAGGCTCCCTGGGATGGTACCAGAGCCAGGAAATGTAACTGAAAATGAAGTCTGTAACCAGAAATGCAATTAGAATTAGGTTTGGAATCTGTATAAGCAATTCTACCTTTAAAAAAAAAAGTATTCTAAAAATCTTTACTTAAAAGAGAAAAAAGATTTAAATCTGAGAAAGGTTTAAATCTGTGTCTGAGACTCAGTTAACTTTGACAATGAACTAATCAGAGGGCAAAATGTTGTGTGTGTGTTTTTATAGATTGTAGGAAATTTACAAACTCGAAATGTTAACCAAAACTCTTTGAAACTTAAATCACTGAGTAATTGTTTTTTACATGTCTTGACTGATCAATGGCCTCAAGGTACCTATCAATAGTCAATCCAATGAAATGACTTTAAGGCAAAAAGATGTGACCACCAAGAATATACTCCACATCAGGGATGGGCAAATTACCACCCACGGGCCAAATCCAGGCCAGTGCTTATTTTTAAAGACCAACATGCATTGGAACACAGCCACGCCATGTATTATATAGGGTGTCCATAAAGTTAGCGTGCAATTAACACCAAAAATACTATTTTAAATTGCACACAAACTTCATGGACACCCTGTATATTGTCTACAACTACTTTCAAGCTGCGATAGAAGAGTTAAACAGACGTGACAGAGACTCTGTGGCCCCTGAAGCCTATTTACTGTCTTCCCTGTATGGGAAAGTTTTTCTGCCTCCTACTCTCCATTTGAATCATTACATTATGTGTGTGTGTGAGAGAGACTCATTACAATGGACAGTCTTAGAAGAGGCCAGGTGTGTTTATGTAGCAAGCACAGTACAAAGCCCTGTCTACAAAGCCTGTGCTCAGCGTTGCCTGAAGTGGGTAATGAACTTCTCCTCCAGATGGAAACAGTAGACAGAATGCAAATGTGTCTTCTAAAAATATCCCTTGGTGAGAGATAGGGGATTGGAGGGACAGCAGTATTGTGTCTATGATGCACTGTCAGTGATACTCACGCAAACTGCTGCTCTCCATTCTGGATGCCACGTTCACAGTGTCCCCAAACAGACAATACCTGGGCATGATGATGCCTACCACGCCAGCCACCACAGGACCTGAGAGGTGGAGAACCAAAAGGCAGAACCGTCTGCATCTCCCAAGGCTGGATGGACGCCACAATGCATAGACAGTCAACAAATGCCGTTCAACAAGCATTTCGTAAGTGTCTTCTTGGGGCAAAGCTTGGTAATACATCTGAGAGACGCAACTGACAGACGCAACATCATCAGCCAATGACCAGGCTATTCGTGAACTTGAGCTGTAAACAAAGCCAACAGTGGCACAAACATTGGCGTGATTACTTCTGATTGGGGATCAGTTTTTATTTTATTTCTCCTTGGAGGAGAATAAGGAGCATAACTGCCTCAGGGATTTGTGGGGACCGGTGAAAAATGGAAATATGGGACCCTTGTTCAAAGATTATTAAGAATTTTGAAAAGCATTAAACCAAGTGGACCACATCTGCACAGAGCACATGCCCCTGAGTTGACACACACAGAACATCTCCAAGGGCCTTGGACGCAGAGGAATAGCGGGGATGTAGCCCCTCGCAATGGTCCTCACTGGAGGTCCCTTCTTTATTTTGGCTCAACACCTTGGAGCTGTTGTGTGTCCTTGTTGCTACCAGGCAGTCCAGCTAACTGGAAAGTCACGTGCAGAGACAAGTCCATCTTTTGTTTCCCCTGAAGATGTTACCATTCAACACCCAGGTTCCTAGAGACCTCGGACCTAGAATTCAAACCCAGAACTACCTGTCGTCGTGCCTGGACCTCACGGCCACCTGCCATTAGTTCTGTCTACCTGTGTGGAGGCCAATCCGGAGCCCGAGCTTCTCCTCAGGCATATGCCCAATCTGGAAGTGGATGGTGGCACTGAGGAAGTGCAGGGACATGGTGGCAATCTCGTGCACGTGCTGACTCCCATTGCGGATGGGAAGCCCGCTGGCTACCATGTATGCGTCTCCAATGGTCTCAACCTGAGAACAAAGCAACAACGTGACCTTTGTTTTCCATAAAGGAGGCTTAGGGTGGGGGTGGAGTCACAGACCAACACCCCTCATTTGTCCCCAGTCTTGACCCCCCACACATTAGGGTGTCATATCCTTGACCTCCATCCCATGCAAGTCCCAGCATTTCCTCCATTCCCTGCCCTTGACCTAGTTTTCAGCAAAGCCCTCCTTCCCCAAAGCCTTCTCCCCACAGTCACTGCTTCCTCCTCCCAAGTACACAGTGGCCGTGCCTGGATTTCCCCAGTCCAGGCTCAGAACCAGACAGGTAGCAGTGACTGGTGAGGCAAATCTGGAATGATCTGTCAGGTAGATCCATCACATAGAATCCATCTTACTCACCCTGACATGTAGCCGCCCCACACAGGGCTCTTACATACATTTATATACACATGTATACAACACGTGTATAAATGTATGTGTCATTGTACGTTATATACACATGTGTATAAATGTATGTGTTTGGCTAGTCTGTCCTTTTCTCCCTAATCCTTCTAATAAAATCACCTTTCAGACCCTTCATTCACAATAGAAAAATAAATGACAGGGAGAATCATAAAATTACAGCCATTTCCAGACACATCTGCATTTCAGCAGAATCCAAAGACGACATGATAAAACTAGAATTTCAGGCAGTAAAACACCTCTCCCCTGGTTGCCCCCAAATTATACAAAGTTAACCAGTCAATCAGGTAACCTGCTCCTAGCTTACCTCTCCCCTTTAGAAATGCAAGCTAGTTCTAACATTACCTCAAGCAAAATGTAACACGAAGCTAACACGAAGAGGAAAATCCGAGAAGACACCCTGGTAAGCAGGGCGGTTTCTAGTTTGGGGGGGCGGCTATGTGATCTTCTTTTAAAGGTTATCCAAACCATCCTTTCTTTCACCCTCAAACAGAGACATCATTTGTGGGGGACTCTGGGGATAATCATTGAGGATGTGTCATTGTGTCACCAAGATATGACCACACTGTCCCCCAAATCTCACTGGCCCCTGGGACTACAGGTGGAGGCAGAGCCCTGGGACTATGGTCAGAGCTGGGGCACTTGTGGCTGCCGACCAGAAATGTGTGAGCACCAAGGCTTATGGTACCTTGGTGGGCTCATGATCTGACCCCGTCTAAAGAGTCTGAAAACACACAGAGCAGCCGTCACCACCACCACTTGAATGAAGCCAGATTATTACTATTTTTACTCCTTCCCACCAAAAATTATGCTTTCCTCTAGGTGGCCATATTCACATGCCTGCCAGGGGAGCACGAGGCAGGTGTGTGTCGCTGCCCTCCCTTTAGTCTGATAGTCTAACCTTGGGGTCCGTATTTGCCCTGCATTGTTAAGGATTGTGATAACAGAAGTCAGACCCACACGAGATCCAAAGACAACCTCGAAAGGAGAATAAATATGAGCCTCTCTGAATCTGAAGGAAATGTATTCAGGAGGGAATTAGCCAGCAGAAGATCAATGCCTCTTTGAGAGAAGTGTTTACCATGAAGGAAGAAAACAGAGGAAACAACTAGGGATGCTTCCGAATGCATACCTCTGTGACTAACCGAGACCTTTTCCAAGAAGACAAACAGAAATAAAATATTGACTTTCTGCCATGAAGTGACACGGACTGAAAAGGACCCTTCCTGCTGGCGGATGTCTGGGGTGGGATCAGTCCTCAGTCACGCCCTGGAGGCAGCAGACGGGACGCACGCGCCTGCCCAGCCGCGAGCAGGTGGCTCACCTTGTACACATCGTAGGCCTCAATGATGTGATCGAATAAACTGTACAGGTCATTGAGGAGCTTCACAACCTGCAGGGGGGAGCTGAGCGAACACAGTTTTGTGAATCCCACGATGTCAGAGAAAAAGATGGTCACGGACTCAAAATGTTCTGGTTCCACAGACTTTCCAGCTATGAGTTGTGCTCCAATGAAGCTGAAACCAGAGAAAGACCCATTTTTGAACAGAATCTTATAGTTGCCCTTATCAGTCCTTTTGCTTCAGTGGCTGAGATTTTGGTTAACAAGGCCCATTATCTAGAGGAATTATTTTGACATCCATTTCTCTAGCTCCATTTTCCAAGATATTTTAGTTGGTGGATACATTTATTGGGGGGAGGGGAGGGTGAGGAGGGGGAAGCCAGTCACATAAACTCCTTTAACAGAAAGGACTTTCTCCCTGTATATATTGGTTATAGAGTTCGATTGTAAAGACTTGGTCTGTAGATATGGGAGCAGATGTAATCACTCACCAATCCACATATTAAATGTTATGACAATCGACAAATTGCACATTAAAAATCCCTTCATCTGTTTCTTTCGTCAGGACACGCCAGGAAGTGCACAAGAATTTTAACAGCAAATGCATCTACCAAGTGTTGAAGGCGTGCATAGGTGAAAACAAAGCCAAAAATGAAACAGTGCTTTAATCTGAAGTCATGGGCCGGTATTGGACTGTGACATCTGAAATACTGCATGGTTAGTGCCTAGTCGGACTCGTGAATCTAGAGCGCCATCTAGTGGCTTCTCTCCTGTTGCAGTATCCACTCCCAGGTTAAAGACCTACTTAACATTCTCTTTATTCCCACTGGATTCAGGGCGGGGCCAGAGGGGGTTGCCTCTGTTTCCCTTTACAGGCTGTACTAAATTACATACAAAATGCTAGATCCCTTTTTAGAAGACCATGGCATCCTCTTAGGGAAAGAACCATGGAAATAATCCCTCCATGTAGGGCCTCTCCTTAGACTTCTTTATGGAGGTTCCCAATGCTTTAAAATACCTGGGCAACATGGTGGACAGAAGCTTCTCCACCTTCCTCTTCTCTGCCATCAGCTGGCTGGTCCTCTCTGCCACCGCTTCCTCCAGGTGACTGGCATACACTTCCAGCTTGCTCACCATGCTGTCCAGCATGCTCATGTGGCTTTAAAAGAACCCAGACATTAACATCTTCTTCCAAGAACCTAGGGTACAGTGGAACACAACTTCCAAGTACACATTCCAAGAAGCCATGTCTCACCCTTAAGGTTTCCTACTGAAGGCCTGACAGTGGACAGCAGGGAACTGACCATGGCAATGAGGCCCTGGCAGGGCAGAGCCTGCCCTTCACCACCTCTGTGAACTCCACCCTTCATGTCCCAGAGCCTCTGTTGACTTATCCAGAAAATAGGGATAATAACACCTACCCACCTCACCAGTTTATCTGAGGATTTTAGTGAGGTAATGTGTGCAAAGTATCCAGGACTGTGTCTGGCACCTGCAAATGGTGACCTTAACTCCCCTTCCCCCACCTCTCCAATATTCTCCATCCCACTAAAAATGCAGATTGGATGACAGTCATTCTTGTCCAATGTAAGGGATACTTTCAGATCCTGTAGTTTTTGTTTTAGAAGGGCCTTCAGACACCTGATTTATATTCCTCATGTGTTCACATAGGAAAACAGACTTGTCTTAACACAGGGACCATATTTGCTGAGTATAAAGTCAGGACTATCGACCAACTTGAGATGTAATTATGCTAAGTAGCTTGCTTTACATTCCACAAAGTATACATCAATCAAAACATTACATTGTACATTACAAATATAAACGGTATTTCACTTGTCAATTTTAAAAGTAATACTAAAAAGTTTTAAATTTTTCAAAACTACTATGATCTGAAAAACTCAGAATATGGGGCTGTTTTGTTAAGAATGCATAACTAAGTGGCCACATCAGGAGTAGACACCTGACTCTCAGCCCAGGAACTCTTTCTACCAACACAACACTAACATGGCAGTGTCTTCATATATTCATATGTCAAAAAATGATACAATTATCCTGGTGTGAAGAAAGCTTCTATGGAGAAAGTTGATTGAAAGGCATGCATGATGTTTTTTTTATTTCAAATTAGTATGAGGAACACGATTTTAGGATAGATTGTTCTCACTTTCAAGGTAAAATTCAAGTTGTAGGAGAGCCCCTCACCCAGGGGTGGTGTTAATTACCCTCACATTGTACACATTGGGTGAGATCTCACAAAATGCTCTCTTTCCTGCCACCAATTACCCTCCCTCCTGCCCCTACCCCTACCCCCTCACCTCTCCCTGTTGCTAGACTGTATTTGTGTCTTATCATTCGTATGAATATGTATTTATATATTGGTTTCATATCAATATTGAGTACATCAGATACTTTTTTTCCATTCTTGAGACACTTTACTAAGAAGAATGTGGTCCAATTCCATCCAGGTAAACATAAAAGGTATAAAGTCTCCATGGTATATATATACCACAATTTGTTAATCCATTCATGGGCTAATGGGGGTTTGGGTTGCTTCCCCCAGTTGGTAGCTATGAATTGAACTGCAATACACATTCTGCTGTAAATGTCTTTGTGGTAAAATGATTTTTGTTCTTCTGGGTAGATACCTACTAATGGGATTGCAGGATCGAATGGAAGTTCAACTTTTGTTCTTTGAGAATTCTTCATACTTCTTTCCATAAAGGTATTAGTTTGCAATCCCACCAGGGGTGTAGAAGTGTTCCCTTCTCTCCACATCCATGTCAGCATCATTATGATTTGGGCTAATCTTACTGGAGTTAGGTGATATCTCAAAGTCGTTTCAACTTGCATGTCTTTGATGATTAAAAATGATGAGCATTTTTTCACGTATTTGTTGGCCATTCATCTGTCATCTTCAGAGAAGTTCCTGTTCAAGTTTCTTGCCCACATAGAAAAGGGGTTGTTTGCTCTTTTCTCATTGATTAATTTGAGTTCTCTATAGAGTCTAGTAATCAGACCTTTGTCAGATTCATAACAGGCAAAAATCTTCATTTTTCTTTCCCATTCTTCAGGTTGTCTGCTGCCTTTGGTTGTAGTAACCTTAGCGTGCAGAAGCTTTTTAGCTTGATCAAATTCCAGTTATTTATTTTTGGTGTTGCTACAATAGCCAGGGAGGTCTTCCTCATAAAATATTTTTCCAGGCCAATATTTTTAAGCCTTTCCCTGCACTGTCTTCTAGAATTTTTATTGTCTCATGTCTTAAATTTAAATCTTTTATCCAGTGAGAATCAATTTTTGTCAATGGTGAGAGGTGTGGGTCCAGTTTTAGTCTCCTACAAGTGGCTAACCAGTTCTCCCAGCACTATTTGTTAAATAGAGATTCTCTTTTCCAGTGCATGTTTTTGTTTGGGTTATCAAAGATTATATTGAATGGAGTAAAACTGAAAGCATTTCCACTCAGATCTGGAACTAGACAAGGATGCCCATTGTTACCACTGCTATTCAACATAGTACTGGAAGTCCTAGCCATCGCAATCAGGCAAGAGAAGGAGATTAAGGGAATTCAAATGGGAACAAAGGAAGTCAAACTCTTGCTCTTTGCAGATGACATGGTCTTATATCTGAAAAATCTCAGAGACTCAACCATAAAGCTCTTAGATGTGATCAAGGAATATAATAGTGTCTCGGGATACAAAATCAATACCCTCAAATCAGTAACCTTCATATATGCCAACAACAGTCAAGCTGAGAATAAAATCAAAGACTCTATTCCTTTTAAAGTAGTGCCAAAGAAGATGAAATACCTAGGACTATATCTAACAAAGGCTGTGAAAGATCTCTATAAAGAGAACTATGAAACCTTGAGAATAGAAATAGCAGAAGATGTTAACAAATAGAAGAACACACAATGCTCATGTTTGGGAAAAATCAATATTGTTAAAATATGCATACTACTCAAAACAATCTACAGATTTAATGCAGTCCCCATAAAAGCACCAATGTCATACTTTAAAGAACTTGAAAAAAATGGTACTTCCTCTCATATGAAATCAGAAAAAAATCTGAATAGCCAATACAATTCTTAGAAATAAAAACAAATCTGGAGGCATCGTGTTGCCAGATTTCAGGTTATACTGCAAGTCTATAGTGATCAAAACAGCATGGTACTGGCACAAAAATAGAGACCTAGATCTTTGGAATAGAATAGAGAATCTAGAGATGAACCCAACGACATATCATCATCTGATCTTGCATATATGTTTTAAGTTATACCTATTCCAAGGGTGGTAAGTAATTTTTAATCCCCTTTGTTAGTCATGACCCTGGGAATGCTGATTTGAAGCTGATGCCAAGGCCATACCGTAACTCCCTGGGCCTGGATTGTTTAATGATGTCTGGAATGGATGAAGAAGGCAGGAGGATTAGTAATATCAAATCCATTTTTGTGATGTGTACAAAATAAAGGGATGATTTTGTACTTCACTTCAACCAGAAAGGAGCACAAGGCTTCGTATGTGGCAGGCACCGAGTATATGATGAATGCATGAATGAGAGTGAAGGAATGGAGAAATGAAGGGGATGAGTCCCACAGAACCAATCACGGCCATAAATTCTAACATTCTAATGGTTACATGATTAAGAGAAATGTCTGTTACGCATCTAACTCACCCTTTGGGACTGGCTTCTCGTAAAGTTTTCTTGATGGACAGGAAAGTGGGCCTTTTCTCTGGAGATTCGTCCCAACACGCCATCACCATGGCCACAATCTGTTCATTGCTCTTCTCCTCCGACAGGGAGGGTCGCAGCGGAACTGACGCTGTGGGGTCTTTGATCCGGTTGATAATTTCTGAAATCCATTTTGAGTAAATGTCTGAGTTTTACTATAGTTCACTTTAGGTGGCAATTGTACCCTTAAGTTTATAAACTAAGTTTTAATATAAGTAGAATAGATTGATATTCCAAAGATATCTGGATATTGTAACAAAATTATTCTGAACGCTCTTAGAAAATAAAAAATTCTGTATTTAAACTGAGATTTTAAAATAGAACTTTTCTTGAGGTGACACATCAGACCTCCATATGACTTCAGGGATGTATAAGCATTTGGTGCTGGAAATCTCCAAAGGGTGCTTTACATAATTTTGCATTCCATATAAATTGTTACAGAAAAGCCATTTTAACAAATAAGAAATGTTACCATCGTGTCCTGTTTCTCTGTCCAATTTTGTAAATCTACTTTCATTTCCTCAGTGGCTTCTACTGATATTTATTAAAGATCCTGCTTAACCAGATGTTGTAACAAATAATAGTTTGAGAATAATGTAGACATGTGTTGGTATGAAAATACTGGGGGTGCTATACCATGGATAAATCTTAAATGCATATTACTCAGTTAGACTAGTCTGAAGAGTTTCATTCTGTTTACATGACATTCTAGAAAAGGCAAAATTATCAAGACAGAAAAGAGATGAGAGGTTGCCAAGAGCTTGGGGAGGAGAGAGGGTCAAATAGATAAAGTGAGGGATCTGATTTCAGCATGGGGAATCTATTCTCTACAACGCCACGGTGGTGGATATACAGCACTAAGTTTCTGCCACATGCCACAGAGCTTTGCAGCACAAAGGGTAAGCCTTAAGGATGCAAACTATCAGTTAGGAAATTAGACAACCCTGAGATAGAGTTCCAGCAGTTGAGAACAGACTCTGACTGTGTTACGAACGTTTGACCTGATGAAGGGGACAAACGGAAAAAGGGGCTAACCTACATCACTAGTGAAATGAGGAGAGACCATAAGAGAAATGACAAAAGGAACTATTACTCGTAGCAGGTGCCGTGGCCCACACCTGTTGTCCCAGCTACTTGGGAGGCTGAGGCAGGAGGATTATTAGAGCCTAGGAGATCGAGGCTCTAGGGAGCCATAATGATACCAGTGCACTCTAGCCAGGGCGAAAGAACAAGACCCTGTTTCCAGAAAACAACAACAAAAAAATCTGTTTATAATCATGTACTCTAGTTGGGGCCCACGAGTTAACAAGTCTGAAACCACTGTAACATATATACTGAGACTGAGCGAGTAAATGGATGGTGGTAGATGGTGGGGGGATAAATAAATAAAATAAATAGGTGTAGGATGGTAGGATAGTGGTGAGCCAGGATCCTCCTGCTGGAGATGGAGGTGAAAGAGACGTAGAGGAGAGGCTAACTGAACCAGGCTGGCAATACATTGGATCTGGAGGTACAAATATGAACCCGCATTTAGTTTAATGTAGATGTAGATATATATGCGTGCGTGCATGCTTGAATGTAATCATTGACATGTGTACGCATGTGGGTTAGTAAACACACGTGTTTCTTTGCAGCAACACCCCAGGAGCACTGAGCATACCCAGGGTCAGTTCTTGTTTTCTAACACCATCCTCCAAAACAGAAATCAGAGGAGTCAGCAGCTTCTAGCCCCGGGGCAGAGGAGACGCAAGAGGAGCCTGGAGCATCTTATCATATCAGGAATTAAGAAGTAATGGAAGACAAGACTCAGCAAACCACCACAGGGTTGGCTGCATGGCAAAGAGACAGAGGCCATTTGAAAGTGAATGCCCTTAGAACCAGTTATTTGAGCAACAAAGTTTAAAAAGCACTATTAGATCATAACTCAACAGATAAAATAAGCATCCATGAGTCCGTACTGCTATGAATAAATAATCAAAGAAATAAATATATAGGCAGAGTAGACAAATCTCCCAGAGGGAAGAATGCCGAATAACCTCCTCTTTCCTCAGGGAGGGGAGCCGAGCACCCCACCCTGTACGTGTAGGCTTCGGGGTGACTTCTGCCATGGGGCACAGTGTGGAGGGAAATCAAGAGTGACTTTACAGTGGAGAAACGGACACACAGGTCCTCAGTCGGGTAATCGAGGTCAACATCAAGTGGATGGCGTGTGCCCTCCGTGCGATGTGATGAGGATGACAATCTCCCTCTGAGAAATTTTCCCAGAGAAGTTTACAGAGGCAGGATGACTAAATGTAATGCGGCACCTGGAGGGGATCTGGGGACAGAAAGATGTTAGGCAGAAATTAAGAAAATCTGAATGAAATATGACGGTTAGTTAATATCACAAAAAATAGTTTACAAAAAGTATTTAAAATATGCTCTTGTTTAATATATAGTTTAAATGCCTAAAAATATTCTGAAAGAACGTACATTAAAAAGTACTCTGCATCACGAGAATGGAGAAGCCAGAATCCAGTGTACTCTATTCTAATATGAAGGCAGCAGATGAGCTAATTCAAGGGGGTGGGTAGGGGAATGAGCAAGGGGGGAGTGGGGAAGAGGGAGGGGAGGGGGTCACGGTGTATGGGGGTGGGACACAATTATAAGAGGGACCTTATCTAACAAATGCAATCAGCATAACCTAATTCTTTGTACCCTCGATGAATCCCAAACAAGAAAAAAAAAAAGTACTCTGTAGTCAGGCGGCTAGAGCTGACAGGACATAGCTGGTCTGGCTGCTTAGGTCCTCGGCGACCTTCACCTCAAATCTCCCATTCTTGTTTGAACCCAGCTTTGGCCTAGAGGTGTATATGTTGAGTAGTTCAGGGCTATCGATTTAGGAGATTAACTTTTGAATCAGAAATGTTGTTTTGAGTCATGGGTTATGCTGATTACTGTTTATTATGGGTCATGGGTTACGCTGATTGTTGTTGTTTAAGATAGGGGTTTTTGCTTTGAACTTGCATGAGTCAAACTGTGTAGAAGTCAGGTCAAGTCAGGTTAAGTCACTTTTGGAGGTGGAAGAAGGAACAGTCTTGGAGAAGCTGCTCTCGCTGTTCTCCAGGACTGCAGGCCTTCTGACAAAGTTTAGTGGACCTAAAAAAAAAAAAAAGTACTCTGGGAAATTGTATTTTACTGCCCAAATGAAGTCCATTGGGACAACAGTGGTTCCCAAACGAGTAACTGAAGAATCACTACGGCACCTTCTGCTGTCCTTTGTTTAGCTCTAAGAAACGCCAGGAAAGGACCAATAAAATGATTCAAAACTTTGTAAGTTCAAACGATGGGTCTGCACTCAGAGAACACGTGTCCTATCTCCTACCGTGTAGCCAGCTGTTCCCATCCCGTAACCATTACATCTACTTGCCACGGTAGCACATTCATTCACCGTCTTTGGCCACATGTGTCAGGACTGCCTGGGGGGGCTTGCTGAACCCAGATTTCTGGGCTCACCCCCACAGTTACCCACAAAGCAGATCTGGAGTGGAGCTTAAAAATGTGCATTTCTGTCAAGTTCCCAGGTGAGGCCGCTGCCACTGCTCCACAGACACAAGGACAAAGTCCAGGGCTTCTCAAACTGTGGCACATGAGTATCCCCTGGGAAACTGACAGAGGGACATGTTCTCAGACCTATGGCTGCAGAAACCCAAGGGTGGGACCCAGCAGTTCTGTGCTTGAATCAGCCTCCAGGTGGACCTTATGTCTTCTCCAGTCTGGGAACCACTGGTCTGGCAGGTGCAAAGAGGTAGTATTTATTCAGTCCCCAGTACAAGTCTGTTTCTAGGGAGCATGAAAACTTCATGAGGTGTTAATGGAAGGAACATGTTTCTTCATAAATTAGGTACACATTGTCCTTTTCCTAGTGGCAATCTTGTGGACGTATACTCCCACGTGACTGGCTCTCATTTAATTTCGTAAAATATATTGATTGATTGTCCACAGTCTTCCCTCATCCCCCGTCCCCACAGACCCCAACTGGCACAATCCATTGGTAGTGGGGCTTAGGGATTATAGGCCCACTCCTGCCCAGGCTCACTCTGGAAATATTTGTACACTTGTTTGGTTTAACAGTCAGATGCACCTGGATTTTGAGTCAGCCTTTTTAGATAGTCTACCTCTGCTTCATTTAACTATAAATTAGAAACTGGAACCTGTTTCAAAGCATCTGCATAAAGTCACAGAAGAGCCTGACTTAAGAAGTCTCCAGGAAATGGATAATAATCTAAAGCTGAGACTCAAGATACAGGTTGCTGGGAGTGGGCTAGAAATGATAGGCAAGGCAAGAAAAGGAACAAAATCAAGAGAGAAAGGCAAGCTGGGTTTGTCTCTTGGCCTTGTTCTCTGTCCAGGCTGCTGCGTGTTAGGCTCCCGTGGGATCCTGTAAAACCCCAGTGCCTAGGCAGCACCCAGACCACCAGACTCTGGGGCTGTGGTCCAGGTGTCAGCATTTGTTAAGAGCAAAAACCCAGCAGAACCAAGCCTGAATATATCCTTTGTAAGGGGACAACTGGACAGTATTCATCAAGAATTTCAAATATATTTAAAATATATAGATCTCTTCAACTTTACAGCTAGAAACCCTTAAGAAGAGACATTCAGCTGTGTGTGTGAAGACACAAGGCTGCTCATTGCAGCAATTTGTAATAGCAAATAATAGGAAACAGTCTAAATGTGTATTAATTAACAGCGTGTGGCATAGTCCTACAGTGAAAAGTTTTGCAGTCTTTAAAGAAAAAACAAGGCAAATGTGTATATAGCAATATATGTGGGGAAAGACATCCATGAGGAGGGAACAGCATGTGCAAAGGGGCTGGGGTAAGAATCTGTCTGGCATGTTGGAGCGTATAAAAGTGGCCAGTACAACTGAAGGGAGTGAACTGTGGAGATGGCATTAAGACAGTAGAGTGGGCTGAAGAGTGGACCCCAAACAAATATAGTAGAACCTCCACAGTTGACCACCCCTGCATTGACCACCTCCTTTACTTGACCTAATTTTCATAGTACAGACATGCACCATGTGCAGTAATGGTATAGTCAGTCTAGCTCCTTATGGTGACCACCTCTACTGTTGACCAGTTTGTTGAGTGATCAACGTATAGAGGTTCTCCTGTGTGTCCATGTCCTCATGCCCAGAATCTGTGAATGTTACCTTATTTGAAAAAGGGGATGTAAAAGGGATATGCAAATATTAAGTTAAGGATTTGGGGTCAAGGAGATCATTTTGGATTATTTAGGTGGGCCCCAAAGCCAATGACAAGCATCCTTAGAAGAAACACACAGAAGATACAGAAGAAACAGAACGCAGAAAAGCAACACGAATGAAGATAGAGCAAGAGACTGGGCCAGCGGCCACAAGCCTGGGAATGCTGGGGGCCCCAGAAGCGGAACCAGCAAAGGATGGGCTTTTGTCTGGAGTTTCTGGAGAGAGCTGAGCCTTGCTAGCACCTTGATTTTGGACTTCTGGCCTCCAGAACAGCAAGAGAATAAATTTCTGTCGTTTCAAGCCACCGTGTTTGTGCTAGTTGTCATGGCAGCCCTAGGAAACTAACAGAGCCAGACACAGGTTAGGTAGTTAGAGGCCACGGGAGGGGCTCAGTTTTCACTTCCCTGATGGGGAAGCCAGGGAAGGATTTTGAGTAGAGAAGTGATATAATCTGGCTCTTTTTCTAATAAGGTCACTCTGGCTATATTGTAATACAATGAGTTACCTGATTCTGAGTCCCTTGATTTGGGGGGGTTACCAAAATAGCTATTTTCTAATTACAAGAAAAACAATAAATTTTAAAATGAAAACATAAGAATGGAATAAGTTGTAAATGGGTCAAACAATTAATAAAAACAAACATCTCCAAGCCAGTTCACATGACAAAAGCCAACTGCCCCCCTTTACCATCTGGTGCCTCCTGGAGGTCATCAAAGGGCCCGTGGTCAGGGTGGTGGATCAGCTCCCGCATCAGAATGGCGAAGCTGTAAACGTCTCCTTTGGGGGTGCCCGACCAGGGTGACTCTGGGAGCCGCAGCAGCTCTGGTGCCGTCCAGTAGAGCTCTGCCAAGCAAGGAGACGTCCACATGAAGTGAGACTGCTGCTGGGAGAGACAGGAGAAGTCACCCCTTCATTCTTGGGGGGCCTGATGGTGTCTGATGGAGAGCAGGTAGGGGGTCTGTGTGCGGGAACATGGAGAAAACCACCAGGAAGGACGTGCCCCAGCGTGCTGAGTGGTTTCCTCAGAACTGTGGAATTACAGGTATTTGCAAGTACCTTTTTCTTTTCTGCATTGCCTATATTTTAAAAATATAATTCATTAAAGTATGATTTATACAATATAAAATGTACGCTATATAAAATTAACCATTTTAAAGGATTTAATGGCATTTAGCACATTCACAGTGCTGTGCAACCATCACCTCTATCTAGTTCTAAAATACTTCCATCCCACCCAAACAAAGTTCTAACCCACTGAGCAGTTTCTCCCTGGTTTCTCTACCCCAGCCCTCGGTAACCACCAATCTGCTTCCGTCTCTATGGAGTTATCTATTCTGAGTATCTTATGTATCTACCTTCTTTTTTTGCAGTGATGTCTATACGCTTATATGTATGATTATTGGTTATAATCATTAAAATATATATATATTTTTATATATATAAGAGAATGGGGAACTAGGAATGGCTACTGGCAGGTCTTCAAAGCTTCTCCCCAGTCTTTCTCTGAGACACCAGCCTAGGACATGGTACAGAAAGCTCCCCACATTTACCCAGAGAAGCTCTGGTGACATCTTGACCCAGCAAGGATGGGAGTCAGGGCCAGGAGTATCAGGCTGAATATGAGGAGATGAGACTCAAAGCCATTCAGGTAACTTTGGACAAGTAGGAAGGATCACCAAGCCCCAGTTTGCTTATATGTAAAGGAGGTTTGGACTTGAGACCGTGGAGCTTATCTTGAGATGCATGTCAGAATCACTTGGGAGCATTTTGAAAACAATAATGCCAGTGGGGTGGCTCAAGTCTACAATCCCAGCACTTTGGGAAGCTAAGGTAGGCAGGAGGGTCACTTGAGGCCAGGAGTTCAAGACCAGTCTGGTAAACACAATGAAACCCCAATTCTACCAAAAAAAAAAAAAAAATTAATTAACCGGGTGTGGTGGTGCATACCTGTGATCCCAACTACTTGGGAGGCTGAGGTGGGAAGATCACTTCAGCCTGGGCAACAGAGCAAGACCTGGTCTCAAAAAATAAATAAGTAAAATAAAATAAAACCTGATGTCAAGTCCCTACCTTCAGTCTTCAGATATTCTGATTCAATCATATGGGAGAGGTCACCGGGGAGACCCAGAACTCTGGAACTCGGTTATCTCTAAAGTGTCTGGCAGAGCCTACGTTCTACACAGAGAAGGTAAGGTGAGAGCAGGAAGGAACATAGAGGACTGAAAAGGGGGGCAAAGGTTGTGGCAGGTGGCCAGGCCGCACAGGGACGAGAACCAGTCTCTTACCCAGACATCACCTCACGGGCTCCAGGGCAAGACCTACCTGTGGGTACCCAGCCAAGTGAGCATCAGAGAGAAAGATGGGCAAGGATCCCTGACCCCCCTCCGACAGCTACTGATCTGCTATTGACTACCTGAGGGGTCGGTAGTTTTCTCATCGAAGGTTCTGTGTGTCTGGCCGTACTTGAGTTCCCACAGCCCAAATCCCATCAGCTTCACCTGCATCCGACCATCCACCAGGCAGTTGGAAGGCTTCAGGTTGCCGTGGGACCCCAGGGGGCTCCTGTGGAGGAACAGCATGCCCTGCAGGGGGGACAAGGAGCAGATGAGGCAGACCACGTGCCAGTGACACTATTGGCAGGAACCAAGGCAGAGGGACAGGGGCCAGAGACACAAACCCAGGACAGGGCACATGCCCATCTCTCTGTTCATCTGTTCAAGAGCCACCAGCACAGCCTCTTGTCCGTGAGTCACCCTGAGCAGGGACACTCAAAATGGAGAAAACTAGTATTTCTGGCTCTTTATTGTGGAGCCCAACAAGGCAAAGATGGTTTAAAATAAATACCTCCTAAGGGTCAGGTTCCTGAGTTCACACCCCAGCTCTACCACTCAGCAGAGGCCAAGTTACTTTATCCCTATAAACTTCATTCTTCTTACCAAAACGGAAGTAAGAAATAGGCTTACTCACAGTGCGGTTGTGGAGATTACGTGTGATAATGCGAGTGAAAACAAATAAATACCCAATGCAAGTGAGAATGAAAAACTTGCACACATGGGATAAATGCATAAATATCTTAGAGACCAGTGATACAGAGACAACGCCAAGTAATTAAGACTATTACTTTATTGCCTACACATTATAAACTATTACATGTACTTCTCAGGAAAAATGAGAACTACTGAAAAATTCTTGTGGCATCCAGTGTGTTCTCAGGAGTCCCATCCTATCATTATTGTTCACAAAGAGGGCAGAAAGATCTAGTCAGAAAACACAAATATAAATCTGGCTTCACCTCACTGGACCTTGATTTTTTCCATCTGTGAGATGGGACTACCTAGACCCCTGCTGCTTAGATGATGGCCTGGGCTCCACATGGGAGCTTGACAGAAATGCAGACCCTCGGGCCGCCCCCGCCCCCAGACCTACTGGATCAGGACAAGAGTCCCAGGCAATTCTTGCGCACACGCAGTCTGACAAGACCTGTCCTGGTCAGTTGTTCCCAGCCTTAGCTGCACATGAGAATCACTCGGGGACCTTAAAAACAAAAACACAATGCCGGGGCCCAAACACAAGCACCTACGTTAGCTACAGATGACTATGGTACGAGCCAAGCACAGGTGCAAAGGACAGGAAGCAGGAACGTGATCAGAATGGAGGCAACGGTGCTGCATCCAGGAATACCTTCCAAAGATGCTGGGTCATCAAGGCAGAGCTGATTCTCACATAGCAGAGAGATGGGGGCCTGGAAGGGGGGGTTTCCAAGGGCAGGGAGGGGCTTAAAGAAAGGCCTGGAGTTGAGGAAGAAAAGAAATATTTGTGGAGGACTGTCAGGAGAAGAAATTACTTTGGAAAATAAGAACTGTCCTATTTAAACATGAGAAACAACTTCTTTTATCCCTGAGAAGTTTCCAAAGGCAGATGCTGAAGAAGGGAAATGAAGGTAAAGAGGAAAGGGCCGAATGCTTTTCAGAGTAAACCAGAAAGTGCCAGCAGATGGGACCAAACCAATTGTGTGGTTTTTATCTTCCTTGATGACTTCACAGAGAAGCCATTTAAATAATATTTATTCCACATTTCCAGTTTCTTGGACTTTTAGGTACTGACATAAAAGCTCTCTGTATCTGTAATCTGAATCTATGAATGGTTCATTTGCAAAACAGTTAGTTTGAGAGCCTCAGCCTTTCACGGGCCCAGGGCTCTGCACCAAGCCCTTGCCTGTGTCCCCCTAGGTAACCTGAGCTGCCTCAGCCAAGAGGTTTCAGAGCAAGAGTGAAAAATAACAGAGCTTTTCTCAAGGGTCTTATTAAATTTTTATTTTTAAGTGTATAATTCTAACCTCACATCAGGTCCCAATCTAGCTCCCTGACTTAAACTAACTCATTTAATCCCACCTTGTGACCCTATAGAAGTAGATGCTGTTACCATCAACCTCATTTTCCTCGTGAGAAAAAGGAGAACAGAGAAATGAACCAGCCCCAGGTCACACAGCTGGCCAGGGGTGAGCTGGACTCAGACTTCTGCAGTCTGATTCCCAGTCAGTGCCCTGACTGACTGCCCTGATGTCCCTTTGTGTATGAAAGAAGCCTGGGACCTGCAGAGGTGAGAAATGATTGAGAACTTCTTTTTAGCCACATGGTGACATGGACATCCATGCTATGATGTGTCTGCGGTGAGCAAATAAATAACAAGAAACCTTTGGGGGGTTCTTACTTGGTACTGGGCATTGTGCAAAATACTAATTACCAAATTTAGCCTTTTCTGAAACAGGCTCATATTCTCATTGTCCATTTCACAATAAGGAAATTATAGGTTTTACATTGACCCCAAGAAATCAGAGCCAGAGCTGGGATATCAATCTAGATTGGATTGCCTCTTAAGCCCAGCTTCATCTAAACCAAAAGATTTCACTGTTTTCTGTGCCCTGGTGACAGTGGAGGATCGTGTGGGAGGAGGAGGGATGGGGGGTCCCGGCACCCTTTATTCCCTGGCACGATTACACCACTACAGCCTGACTGGTTCCAGTGAGTCTCCAACCCAGCTGAGAAGGGGCAGTGAAGTCATGGGTGGGCGTGGCTACTGCGAGGCACTGGTCACAGAGAGGGGGAAAGTGAGGAGGGCATCCTGAGAGGACTACTGTTCCCAGAAGCAGGGGCTTTGGGCCTCTCGTGCACCAGCTCAGTGACCCACCTCTTCCTCCCTGTGCTGACCAGCTGAGTCACTATCCCACTTAAGCCAGAGCCCTGAGGCCAAGATTGCATCAGAAATATGGAAAGCAATAAGGAAACCTCCAGGGGAGCAGATACACATCTGCCCCACCCCATCTCACCCACTGCCCCAGATACACATCCACCCCACCCGGTCTCTCCCACTGCCCAGCTGCTATCAGCGTGGCATGTTGATTTTAGAGATGGTAAATGTGAATCTCATTGTGGAACTGCAGCCCATCCAACCGGACCCAGAGCGACCTGGCTAAGGTGGCCTCTGGAATTTCTCCAGCAAGGCGCCAACAGGCTGCGGTCCAAGTTTGAAATCTGGTGAGACCAGTGTCCAACCCAGATCTCTGATCTCACAGAGACCTCTCCATTCAGCAAGACTGTCCCTGACACACACACGGTCCTCTGCTTTCTTCCTGCCTTAGCTAGCACCAGGTCCACCCCAGGCATGAGCTATTTTACATTCTGAGATGTTACCGGAGCTCAGGCCGTGAGGGCAGAATGACACTCTCAGGGATGCCCAGAATCCTGGGTGTGAAGTCCTCTCCGAGAGACGGCATGGGTGTCGCTATTTTCTATCCAAATGGAAAGGTATGATCTTTACGCATATTGTCAGAGAGCAAATAGGACCACGAGAGGACTCATGATTTCCAAATCAGGTTTTGTGCGCTCTCGGCAGTTCTACCACCCATCTGCTAGCAATGTTTCTTGCCCTACTAGAAATTCCCAGGTGGCCAGTGGGGCTCCTGCCTCTGGGTCCCCCATCTGTGCTCTCTGATACTTAGTAGAGACAAGTACAGCGGGGAAGGAAAATCTTTAAGCTGGCTACAAATCGGAATCTGCCTCTCACCAGTCGGGCAGGTGACTTCCCCTAGCTAAGCTAAGCCTCACTTTATTCCTCTCAAAAATGGACTATATACTAATATTACGAATGGAGTAAAAAAATTAACAATGGAATTAATTTATAATTAAAATCATTGTCCCATAGAAACATAAAGCAAGCCACATTTTTAAATGTTTTAATAGCTGTGTTAAAAAAGCTAAACACTTAAAATTAATTTTAAGGGTCGGTGCCCATAGCTCAGTGAGTAAGACGCCGACCACATACGCCGAAGCTGGTGGGTTCAAGACGAGCCTGAGCAAAAAGTGAGACCTCATCTCTACTAAAAATAGAAAAAACTGAGGCAAGAGAATAGTTTGAGCCAAGAGTTGGAAGTTGCTGTGAGCTATGATGATGCCATGGCACTCTACCCAGGCAACAGCTTAAGACTCTGTCTCAAAAAAAAAGAGAAATTAATTTTAATAATATATTTTACTCAAAGTGTTCAGAAATCTTACCATTTCCAACATGTAATCAACATAAAAATATTAGTCAAGGCTCAGTGCCTATAGCTCAGTGGCTAGGGCACTAGCCACGTACACCAGAGCTGGTGGGTTCAAATCCAACCCAGGCCTGCCAAACAACAATGACAACTACAACCAAAAAATAGCAGGCATTGTGGCAGGCACCTGTTGTCCCAGCTACTTGGGAGGCTGAGGCAAGAGAATCGCTTAAGCCCAAGTTTGAGGTTGCTGTGAGCTGTGATGCCATGGCACTCTATCCATATATATATGTGTGTGTGTGTGTGTATGTGTGTGTATGTGTATACATATATACATATATATATATACATCCATATATATATATCCAATATACATATATATTTGTTGGAAATTTTTTTCCTTTTGTTTTTTTACTAAGTCTAAAACATCTGGTCTAAACTTGACACAGCACATCTCCATTTGGACTGGATTGGGATATTAGTGCCCAGTAGCTACATGTGGCCAAGGCTATCTTAGTTGGACAGTGCAGACTTACCCTGTAGGCTTGTTAGAGGAATTAAAATAAGAAAATGTACTTCTTTTAGTACTAGTCATGGAGTTACCTATAATTGTATTAATGGTAATCCTGTTATTACTAATAATACTAACAATTAACATTTATTAGACTTGGGTTAGGGGGTAGGCATAGAACTACGCATTTTACATACCTTAGTCTTCACACAACCCTATGAGGTGGTACTGATGTCATCTCTATTTTCACATACAGGAAAACTAAGGCTCAGAGGGTTGAGGTCACCTGGACACTAAGCGGTAGAGTCAGGCTTCAAAATCCCCAGTTTCTATGTCAAACTATTTTTCATCCTTTTCATTCCTCAAGACTTCTCTACCTAGAAAGGAAGGCCCATCCTGACTCGCAGGGTTGAGCTACCTGGGGATAGGACAAGGCGCCTCAGTCCTCTGTGCTGCCAGGCCCAGAATTGGGTCGGACTCCAATTAAGTGCTCAGATTATGTGTGTTAGCTTGGAAAGTCTCCAGCATCTCAGAATCTCTCTGCTACCTGGCACAGCAGCAGTGCTGGTCAAATAGACTCAGGGAGAAGACTTGTTTTTATGGTTGGTATGTGACAACCAAAAGCACAGTCTGACCCACAGAGGATGGCTCAGTGCCCAAGCCCAGGGCAAGACTCTAAGAGGTGATAGTACATTTCCTGTTACTCCCAGTCCCCTTCAAAGAATGTTGGCAGAGTAAATCAGCCTCAGAGTACCTACATGTGCCTTGGCCTAGCCCACTGTATTATTGGTGACTTCCTTACACAAGCACACAACATGCAGGTTGCATTTCAGGAGGCAGTGATCCCACCATTGTGAGATGACAAGCTGCCCTCTGTTCTCCTAGTATGGAGTATGGCACAAACTCAGTGACCTAGAACAGGTAATGACCACCAGGGAGATTTTCCCCTTCAAGGGGCCATGCTCACCTGCCCAGCATTTCTCCAGAAAAACCTTTGGGTTAATGCTTCTTGAAAACCAATTGTCCATAGGGAAAAGACCAAACCTGTGAGTCATTCATGTTGGTAAGTACATCCTGGCTAGCTTGCTCTTCACGTGTAATGTAAATGATGTTAGCTGTGTTTCTGGGGGCAGGAGACACATAATCTGAGTCCAGAGCACTTCTCTGGGCTTGGTGGGAAGGGAAGGGAACCGCAGGTAAAGGGAAGGAGAGAAGACCCCAGAGTGGGAAAGGACCCCTGTGAGGTCATCCCTCTGCCACTTAAGGAACTTTATGCATACGTATTTCAGACCTCAGACGGTTTTGTTTTCTTTTTTTCTAGGTAGATTTTAAGCCATTCGGAGCTGGAAACAAACCCTCATCTTCCCACGAAAGTGACCAGAGCTGGGTAAACCCTTAAAAGAAGCTTAATAAAGTTCTAATGAAATAATAACAGTGACGGTGGCCCAAGGTTGGCCCAGAGAGATTTCTGTCTGCCTTGCTTGGTAACAGTATGCTGGTTTCCCACTAAAGCCTAGGAAATCAAAGACTCACCAGGCTGTAAGACTCAGCTCCCTAGAAACAAAGAGCAACAAAATCCTTGAGGGTGGAAAGCTCTTCATTCTCCCTACCCAGAGGGGAAGTGGTCTGGCAAAGCCAGCTCAATAGGCCAGGGGCCGATGCTCCAGGAGGGCAGAGGTTATGACTCACCCCTGTAGCCCTCACCCTCACCATGCCCAGGCTCTTCCAGGCAGGCATCTGCTGGCTGATGTTTGGACGATTGATAGTTGACAATCAGCCCTGACCCTGCTGCGGATGCACTGCTCACATATAGAGCAAGACCCACCCCCAGGTCATTGGTTTGGTCCTTTCTGATGTGAAAAGTATCAGCAGCAAGCTTAGACGTAATAGCTGGGTTTAGCCCGGGTGGAAGAAAGCAGGCTTACGATTCTGGCCCATATAACACCACCCTCTCCTGCCGTCTCCCTCCCTCGTTGCCCGCTGCATGCCTAGGCAGTGGTGCTTTGAGACAATGTGTCATGTTGGTCTCTGATCCAGCTACTACCTTCCAGCATCCCCCCAACCTTCATGGTGATAGGAACTGGCTTCCCTCCACCTCCTTCTCAGTTGCCCTGACATCCCCAAATGGGCTCCTAGACATGAGATTGACTTCTCCCTATTGCAAAACACAAAAGCAATCTCTACTTCTTGCTACTAAGAAGCAGCACAGCATTGTGGGGAAGGATATAAGACACAAATCACCTAGGTTTGAATCCTACCTCTGCTACTTAGTGAGACTTTGGACAAGTTATGTGAGCTTTCTGCTCCTCATGTTCTTACCTGTGAAAAAGAAGTAACAATAGATCTACCTTGTATTATTTTTCATGAGAATTAAAAAAAGTAATAAGGTACTAGAAAGTTCCTGGCCCAAAGTAGGTACTATAATACTTTATTATTATGTTATTTTCTTCCTCTTTTTGCAGCCACCACAATTCCATGTGCCCAAAGTAAAGATTCGGCCTACTTACAAACCTCACATTTGCAGCCCTAGCCCACCTCTTAAGTCAGCAGCTTTGTGGTTAGTGTGACACTGGTCCCCATTTTCTGGGGGAGGGAATGAGGGACTAAGGAGCAAGAAGGGGTATTAGGAACCCTGCTGCTCAGCTCCACTTATGTTCTAGTAATTATGGTCTACAGATTAGATTAGGTTAAAAGTTTTACCCTAAAATGTAAATACGCTACTCTTTCCTGATCAGGTAAGCCTATCAGCCATTCCAACTTTAGTATAAAATATTTTCTTCTCTCTATATTTGTTGTAATCAGGGAAGAAGAAAAGAATAGAAAAATCTGATCGACATGGTAGTTTTTAGAGCTGGAATCAATTTGAAGAAGAGATCTGAAGAGAGCTAGAATTTTCAGGAAAGATTACAGCTCAATTTCATTCAAGACATACACCAACTCAAAAACACTATCATATTTACTCTTCAATTAGGTTGATGTTATACTCACACTGACTATGTCATATGCAAAGGAGATTTTGAATATCCAATCCATTGCATGATCAGAGCTTCTCAAAACATCCTGAAAAACACAAGTATTCAAAATATCACCAGCAACTCAACCTGAAACAGTGAGCTTCATACAGAGAGCAGATCTGACTCCAATATATCTGATATTCTTAGCCAGAACCAATACAGTGTGAGGCAAAAATAAACTCCCCACTAAACCTGGTAACTAGAAATCTTCCCAGGAGATACCACAGCCTGACTCAATATTGAAAAAGTAAGTAGTTTGGAGTTTTACAAACACTTCCTCATTCCTGACATAAAGCTGTTCACATACCATGGGTAGGATGGGCCCAGGAACATCGTAATTCAAGAGTGACATCTTAGAAGAAACCAAGCTCAGATAGTTTCCACCCAGAACAAAAGAAACCAGACACTGGGCCGCTCTGCAGGTAGTCTGATCCCTAAAAGCAGGTGGTTCCACAAGATAATTCAAGTCTCACAATTAGACCAGAGAGAAACAGTCCTTGGATGAACAGGAGCAAGCATTGATAAGGTCCTTTATTAGCTGAGGTAAGAGTGACTATTTTGCTTACCTTAAGACTTCCTTTTTTGCAATACTGGTTGACAATGCAGATGTTAGGTGATTCTGTGCAAACGCCAAAGAAGTGAACAATGTTCTCGTGCCTTAATTCACACATCTGGAAATAATAATGGTCACAATAGCTTGTGTATAGACGGTGTCTTCATGTCAAGGACAGTGCTGAGTGTTTTACATATTTTCAGTTAATTCTTGCAAAGATCTTGTGCAATAAGAACACTTACTGCTTTCATTCTACAAAGAAGGCAACTGGGGTCCAATAGGCAATGTAATTTGTGAAAGATCATGTAACTTGTAAGTGGCAGAGCTGGGAGGTAAAGCTGGGAGGTAAACCTCCAGCAAATAAACCAGAGGGATGACCAAAATCTAACCTTAATCATGGGGATAAACTAAAACCATGTCACGGTAATAGACTCATTCCTGCCTCCCTGCTTATGGCTGTGTATGCCAACATGCGGGCTGTAACAGACTGTACACCCAGAGCAAGAAGTCTGACCCCATGAACCTGACTCCCTCAAGGTCCAGGTTCAAGGTAGGGAAGCAGCCATCACAGGCACAGAGGATAAAGGGCCAGAATTAAAGCTGGGAAGAACAAGCAAAAAAAGCAGAGGTTAGAGGGATCCCAGGATTTAGGTGGCTGGGTCAGGGGACAAGGTCTGAGGTCAAAAGCCTGTGCTCTCATGGGGTTTGAGAGGCAGGCCCAGTTAAAGGCAGCAGCCTCCCACCATTGCCCCTTAGAAACAGGGAGCTGGCAGATGAGAGGCAGAGAGCAGTACTGCTATGTTACGCCCTGGGGCGGGGCCTCACCAGCTGGATTTCCTGTAGCACAGTGCACTTCCTAACCCGGGCTGCTGCTTGGTCACCAACATAGCGGATGGCCACGTGGTTTCCCTGGAATCAGAAACAAAGTGGAATGTCCTTAACCCAGGATGATCTAAGAAAAGCTCCAGGCTAGGAAGGGGAACAGGAAGACTGGCACAAAATCCCCCTATTAGAAGGATCCCATTCCTCACTGCCTGAGTCGACCTCTGTTGTGGCACTGGGCTATGTCCAGGCCCTGAGCTAGCTGCTTCACCTGTAAGATCGCAGCCTGGCAAGGTCGGGTGTGATTAGCACATTTCCAGATGGGATCACTAAAGTTAGGTAACTTACCGGAGGTTGCACAGACAGAATTTGAAAGTGTGACTCCAAGACTATACTCTTCCTATTATATAATAATGTCCCGTTATCACTCAGAGAAAATAGTGATTGACTGAAAGTCTGAAATCCTATGCCTGGCTCAAAGCCCAATATTACCACTTCACACCTGAACAACCCTAAACAGGGGATTTAACTTCTTCAAGTCTCCATTTCCTCTTCTGTAAAATGGAGATTAAAAATAACACCAATCCAGGTGTGGTGGCTCAGGCCTGTGATGCTAGCACTTGAGGAGGCCAAGGCAGGAGGATCATTTCAAGTTAGGAGTTCAAGACCTGCCTGAGCAACATATCAAGACCCTGTCACTACAAAAAAGAACAAAAATTAGGTGGGCTTGGTGGCAAGCACCTATAGTCCCAGCAAGTCAGGATGCTGAAGGACGGGAATTTCTTGTGGCCAGGAGATTGAGGTTGCTGTGAGCTATGATGACTCCACTGCCCTCATGCCTGAGCAATAAGGCTAGACCCTGTCTATAAATAAATAAATAAATAAATACACACACCAATCTCATAGCATCATTCTGAGGATTAAATCAGTTAAAATACTTAACTCTGACAATGTGGTAACTCAATGCTGGGCACATATTAAATTTTCAGCAAATAGCATCTCTTATGATTATTGCGTATAGAGTTTGCTTCTAGAGAGTCACTTAATCAAACACCACACAAACGTACAGTAGTGTGTCAAGAGCTGGGCAGAAGAGATAGAATCTGAATCGTATGAGAATGTAAGACTCAGCTTCAGTTAAAGAATCAATCCAAGGTCTGCCACTCTAGTTTGGGAGTCAGTGCAAAGGACTCGAGACTGTGATGGGAGTTCCATGGAGGAAGGAAGGGCTGGGAGAGCAAGGAAAGGATTCTTGGAAGAGGTGATGCTTAAGCTGAGCTTTGAAGGATAAGACGGTTCCAGGTGGGGGAGTGGGCCCCGGCATGGCATTGTCAGAGGGTAAAACATACGACGTAACAGAACTGGCAGGACCGGTTGGACGAGCATAGGATTTAAACCACAGGAAAAGAAAGATCCTAAGAGTAGACTGGGACTAAGTAGTCAAGAGATTTGGTCCCTTGTTAAAGAGTTAGGGCACCAGCATTCCGGCAACAGAAGTGGGGGATCTGGTGATGGCAGTTGAGGGCAGGGAGAGGCGACACATTTTAGGAGGATTAATCAGACGGTGATATACTATGGCTGGCTGGCTTCCTTCTCTAAACGGCCACATGACCACCACCACAGTTTCATGTAAATGGTGGTCACCACGGTATTTGGTAATATCCCTGGAGGCTTTTTATAGTTTGAAGACTCAAGTAAATAAACATTTAAACAACTCAGTTTAGCCACATCGGGAATGATTCCTCTCTAATCTTTCCTAACCTCAACTTAGAGCAATGAACAACTCTTCTCACACCTGTAACTTTCTATCTCTACTCTCGAGGACCTCTATTTTGAAGAATAAATGCAAATTTTTATTCTTTATGTGACTTTTCCCCAGGAATCTTGAAAGACTGCTATGTGGCTCAGCGCCTATGGCTCAACCGGCTAAGGCGCCAGCCACGTACACCTAAGGTGGCGGGTTCGAATCCCCAGCCCGGACCCGCCAAACAACAATGACGGCTGCAACCAAAAAATAGCCCGGCATTGTGGCGGGCGCCTGTAGTCCCAGCTACTTGGGAGGCGGAGGCAGGAGACTCGCTTGAGCCCAGGAGTTGGAGGTTGCTGTGAGCTATAATGCCACGGCACTCTACCCAGGGGGACAGCTTGAGGCTCTGTCTCAAAAAAAAAAAAAGAAAGACTGCTATGTGCAGGCAGGTATAAGGAAGGATGAGAAAGGCGGGTGTTCCAGCAATCAGCAGTGGCCACTGTCTCCACGGCAGAGGCACCCACAACTGGTTCATCTGTGCTAAAGCACCAAGGCTGAGATAATCCCTGCTCTAGGGCTGTGCTGTGCATTAAGGCAGCCACTAGCTATATAGGGTTGAAATTTTGAAAAATTTAAATTGATGGTAATAAAATTTAACATTTAGCTCCCCAGGCACGCTAACTTTCAGTAGTCACCGGAGGCTAATCGTTTGGACCACACTGACCAGCACAGATTCAGGACATTTTCATCATCACAGAAAGTTATTTGGACAGAGCTGAATCTAATCTAGAAGCCAGCATAGGAATCACGGGGGGTAGGGGAGGGGGCTCTTAGAAAATCAGAATTTCAGTTGTCACCCCAGACTTGCAGGTGCTAATCAGAGTCTGCTCTTTATCCAGAGACTCAGGTGATTGGCATGCACCTTAAAGTTTGGGAAGCATCTGTCTGCTGTTGCAAGACCACCGTGGCTTTTGCACAGAGAATGCTTTCCTATTCAGAATACTCTGCCTAACAAAAACCATGTGCGGAGAATGGAACAGAGATACATAGGCAGCCACCTGCCCATAGAAATACCTGGTAAAATCCAACTGGGGCGTAGAAGAGCTCCTCCCCCTGCTGGCTCTTGACAAAGGACCTGAGGTCCGCAGAAATCGTCGCACTGGATGAGTTACTCACGTTCTCTCTCTGGAATGGCTGTAAAACAGGGCATCATTCAGTTGTTCTCAGTAGCATGGCCAAGTGACTCTGCATTTTATAGATGAGGGAGCTGAGTGCCAAGGTTACACGGTTAACACATGTGAGAGTCAGGATCTGAGCCCTGAACTTCCTGAGCTGAAGCGTGAGTAGCTCACTACTATCAGCATCAGTCCCAGTGTCTGTGCCACCCTGGGCCATATAAGTTAGGACGGCAGGGTCTGCAGGCACACTACCCAGATTCAAGTTCTGGCTCTGGTCCTAAACTAGATGTGTGACCTGGGGTCATTAATACCCACAGTGCCCCTCCAACACCTAGAAAATACCTCTAAAGCACTGGAACCCTATTTTTCAGAGACTCTCACCTGGAACCCTAAGGTAGAAACCAGGTAGATCAAAGCAGAACTACTTTGGTTGAAATGGGAAGAGGAAGGCTCGGAATCCCCAGGGACATTTGGAAATGAATTCCTAATGACTCCCAGTCTGCAGGTCTTAGCATGTTAAAGCATCCCTGATTTTGTAACAGCTCAGCCTCCCAGCCCAGAGCATCCCACATCTTGGTATATCCTATGTGATTTTCTCTTGTCACTGCTGACAAACTCTTCCCAGATGTCACCTCCTCTCTGAAACCTTCCTGATGCTGAGACCATTAGTCCCTCCATCTGCAGGAGAGTTGGGGTAGCCCCATGGCTTGTGGGATGCTCAGCCTTCAGTGGATGGTTGGCACGTATTTGCGAGCAAACAAACTAGATGGTATTAGTCATCGGTGTGGCTAAAGAAATAACTCAGTGCTTCCCAGGAGGCAGTTTTAATATCTGAGCCGAGCAGAGTAACAGAGCAGCAGGGAACTTCGGAGTCTATCGATCATTTGTAAGTAATCAGAGCCCGAGTCTCCGGGAGGGCAAATGACATTCCCAGAGATATTCAGCAAGCCAGTGGGGGTTCTGCAAGAACTCAGGCCTCAAGACTCTTCTGGAAATGCCCACTTTATACATGAGTCAGCCCCTTGTTCTTGTGAGCTCCTAAATGAGGTCTCTTCCACAAATCGCCAGCGGTGCCCAGGAAAAAGTGGACAACTGGGCATGCGTGGCCTCACCTTGTTCTGGGGAAGAACGATGATGTTGTCATAGTTGATTTGCCACCACATGTCTTTATTTTGCCTCTGCAGTTTTCCCTTCTGCATCCTTAAAATCAGACCCAGGATGGCAGCTCCCGAGGCAGTAATAAGGAGGGTCACTGTGAGAATCACAGCAGTGTCACCTGGAGGAGAGACACATTTACTCAGGCCTGCCTCAGAGCAGAAGCCAGCACATTCCTGCTCCAGCCTGGCCCTGCTGAGCAGGTGCCCCAGAGGCTGCCCAGGGGTGGCTCTGGGGAGGGATGCATGGAATCCACTCAGACGTGTCCCTTCCAGGGGTCCTACCCTGACTTTCCTTGTAGAGAAACAGTAACATGAATTCTAACAACCCAACCACTTTTTTTTTTTTTTTTTTAGCTTTTGGCCAGGCTGGGTTTGAACCCGCCACCTCCGGTATATGGGGCTGGTGCCCTCCTCCTTGAGCCACAGGCACCTTCCGACAACCACTTTTTTTAGACATTTACTATATGTTCCCCTTAGGGTCATTGTCCAGGCACAATCCATCTAACTCCAGGGCCAGGCTCCTAACCAACCACTGGGCCACACTCGCCTTTCTACCTCCCTAGAACTGAAGCTCTTGAGACACAAATCTCAGGAGCCAGGTTTCTCTAGATTATCTGGACCAAAATGTAGAGAGTGCTGCCACCGTTAAGAACCCCTGCTATAGAGACTTCTTCCCTGGTTCCTTCTCCAAGCCTCTCCAAGTCATATTTACCTCTAATCACAGGCTCAGGGTTACAGAGTTCATTGTAAAATCCACAGCCAGGTCTGTCTTCAGGAAGGGATCCATGGGGCCACATGACATTGGAAAGATTCCCTGTAGGTCTTTTAAAAACACCCGCAAAGGTCAGTGTCCACTTGATCTATGTCACTTTTCTCTACTTCATGGCCAGAGGGGCAACTGAAACCGCATGTTATTTGCAAAAACTAGGCTTTGGTCTCTCAGTTCAAACTTCTGCTGACTTGTCCAATTTTCCCACCTCCCCCAGGCTCTTCAAATTCAAGGAAGGCAATGTCTTTTTTACCAGTAGCTGCCTCAGTCTTTTGATTTCAGCCGTGTCTCTTTAGATATAAAAGATGATGGGGTCAGTGTTGCCAGATACAGACGCACCTTGTGTTTGATGTAGATAGATCTTGTTATATAGCACCTGGACATTTCACAGAACAAAACCTCTCCTCCTACATGGAGTGCGCCTGTCCCTACCCTATGGAGGACCCAGGTGGCATTGTTACTTTGTCTCCTGGGCCCATGTTGGTCCTGTTAAAATTCCATAAGGATAGTGGAGAAAAAGTCTCAAATCAAATTTGAATGGTGCTTGCAATGGGGGGAGGTAAAAATTGAACTAATTTTTAGGTCTCCTTTTAGTTTTCTCATTGATTTGTAGCTGAGAGAACAAAAGCAGGGATTTTTTCGGGGATTGCAGAGTGCTGGGGACGACGCAGGCGGGCAGCGATTGCTGGTGTACACCTGCTTGTGTGGGAATCAGGCTCTTCAGGGGAGGCGCTTTACAGCCTGTGAACCTGTCCCAATAGGGGGCGCTGTGCTCCATTGCCCACTCCGTCCAGGACCCCTCCGGGGGACCACCTGCCAACCGGGACTGGCCTGCTGTAGCATCAGAGGATGCCCGTGCCCCTGTGGAGGTGCAGTCATGGGGCACTGGCTATAATCAAGGGCAAAATCTCCTTAACGGCCCTAAGTCGATCTATGAATTCAGAGAGTGCCAGGCTACTTGGGGGAATTCCCTGGACCCACCCACCGCCACCCCCAACTCTCTTCCTGTAAGCTAAACGTGCAGAAATGTCCTGCCAGTACCTGATTACTTTCTGGTAACTGTCATAATGAAGAAAATGAAGGAAAAGGGACCCGTTTCCAGATTTCTGTAGGGCATAAACCGAGTAGTCCACGTGCCTTTCCCCCCGGGAATCCACAAACACAGGGCCAGTGATTCCTGGAAAGAGAGGAGGTTGCACAGAGTAATGAGGACAGAGAGGAACTCGTGGCTCAAAATAGATCAACACAACCCCCTTCCCTGACAGCCACCTAAGGCCAGATGTGAGGTTTTTACCATTTCAGAGAATTTGAGACAGAGTCAGTAGTGGACAGTGAAGGGGAGAGGACAGTTCAGGGCCACATGGCACAGACAGGTACATTTTTAAAAGCCCATCCAGCATTAAGAAAAAAAAAATAACAGTTTCCAATTAATTTCACATAACACCTCAGAGACGTGCTTCCTTAAACAATTGGAAGATGTGACAACGGAGGCTGAAGGCCACGTGGCAGCAGTTGTCAGGGCCCAAAGGACAGCTGCGTCCCACCCTCCTCAGCCCACCTCTCCATGCTGCCAGGCCTCTGGGCCCAAGTGCGCAAGCCCTTCCCTTCTGGGTTTGGTGTGTGCTGAGGCCTTGGCAAGGCCCTTGACCCTGGGGCGGAATGTCCTTTGCTCTAGTTTAGGATATGCTAAACTCACTAAACAAAGCTCCTCACTCCCCAAACTAGGAGACACCTCTGACAAAGCATTTATTGCTGATTTGGTCCCAGTGGGGACAGAACACAAAATTACCAAAGTAATGGGAGTGGGGAGGGGGCTCCATTCCCTAAATTGACCTCCTAGAGGGAGCCCCTCTTCCAGAATGGGGTTAAAGTTCAGCACTGAAGTGGTTGCCACCATTTGGCAGAAATGAAACAGAGTCACATGTCCTGCCTTCGCCAAGGCCAGCCCTGCAGCCAAGCTACTTTGGAAGGGGTAAGGATGGACCTTCAGCTACGAGTCCCTGAAAGGAGCCCAAAGGCCCTAGAGACAAGTTGAGATCCTCGTGCTCTTAAAGGAACCAGCCGCCCTTCACACCGTCCCCAATCCCAGCATTAGAAATTTCTAAGAGGACAGGAAAGAGAAATAAATTCATCCAGCAGAGGGGATTAAACTGAGAACAGAACCCACCCCCCACAGATACCACAGTGGCCCTGGCTACTTCCCCTTTGAAGCTAAAGCTTCAGGGTCTGGAAGCACAGAAGAAAGGGAAGCTGTTAATATACATTTCCATCTGCAGAAGTTATTAATAAGGTAAATGTGACCTGAGTCTATAAAAACTCTAAAGAATAGTTCTTAGCAGTTCTCTTTAAATTTTTAGACAGATTTTAGGTAAGAATTGTTTTCTGGTTTTGAGTCAGAGTCTCACTCACTCTGTTGCCAAGGCTAGAGTGCGGTGGTATCAGCCAAGCTCACAGCAACCTCAAACTCCTGGGCTCAAGCAATCCTCATGCCTCAGCTTCCCTAGTAGCTGGACCTACAAGTGGCCACCATAATGCCCGGCTGCTTTTCTGTCTTTTAGTAGGGAGAGGGTCTCTCTCTTGCTCAGGCTGGTCTCGAACTCCTAAGTTCAAGCGATCCTCCTGCCTTGGCTTCCCAGAGTGCTAGGATTACAGGTGTAGCTACCATGCCCAGCTTAGGTAAGAATTTGTTGAGAGATAAGCCAAAGCAAAGATAAAAAATGCTACTATTTTATGAGCACATAATATGTGCCAGGCATTTGTATTTTCATTACCCCTCAGTGTTACATGGCAGGGCCGAACATGAGCCCAGGAGGAGGCAGGCCGTATCTTCAATCCTGGCTCTACCATCTAATAACTCTATGACCTTCAATAAGCTACACAAAGCCTTTGTGCCCTTGGTCTACTCTCCCACACATGAAAGTACCTGCCTCCTGGGTTATGAGAGAATTAAATGAGGTAAACAATGAAGCTCTTGGCATATGGCTTGGGGTACATAAGCCTTCCCTAAATGCTAATTGATATTATTATTATATTATCTCTGTCTTACAAATAAAAAACTGGAACAAGGAAGGTCAAAGGAGTTGGTCAGCTCTGAGGGTGACTTCAAAGAAGTTCACTTTCAACCCTGTCCTCACCCCCAAAAGGAAATTTAAAATGCAATTGGAACACATCTTTAGAGGTCTATGATGCCAGGGCCCCCATCTCAGAGAATACAGCTGGGAAGGGTCAGGAAAGTGACTTGGAAAGTCATTCTCATATTCTTAAGTTTTATTTACTTTTATCAGAGACAGGGTCTCACTCTGCCACCTAGGCTACAGTGAAGTGCAACCTTGAATTTCTGGGCTCAGGCGATCCTCCTGTCTCAGCCTCCCAAAGTGTTGGGATTACAGGAGAGGAGTGAACCACTGTGCCCAGCCTTGAGTTTTATTCTTGATGGATTTAGTTTAAAGGGCTGTTGGGGGAGGCTTGCCAGGTGGGAAAAGGACAAGGTGCCCGAGGCCTCCCCACCTGGTTTAGCTTGCCTTCTGGACAGTGGCAGTTGGAAGGTCTAATCTCAACCACCCTTATAGAAGACCAGACTCCCCATAAGTAAGATGAATTCTGCAGCTCAGGGTCAGACAGGCCCTATTAGAGGCCTTTAGTCACCTGCCCAACATGTCAGAGGCCCCACAGATGAGAGCAGCCAGAAAGCCCCCAGGAGGCAGGCCGCTTACCCTGAACCACAGTCTGATTGGAACCTTTCAGGCTGCTGACCAGCTGCCGCCCATCCCGGACATCCCTGCCGGCCTTTACCATCCACGCCACGGTCTGAGCATAGAGTAGCACAGCGTCATGGAGGTAGGCGGAGTAAGGGCTCACCTGCAGTAAGAAAGGTAGACACAGGGTTTGGAGCCACCCACGGCACTCGGCCAGGACGCACCTCTCCATCCTCCTGACGTGGAACATAGCACCCCTTCCCCTCTGTCCCACAGGGTGGAGGACCCACCACGTGCCAGGGCCTGGGTCATGAAATCTGGACATCACAGTCTTCACTTTCCCATTCCGTGTCTCATTTTCCCAGTTAGATCACATGACCCTTCAGATACAGCCCTTTAGGTGGTAGCTGGGAGAGAGTGTAGTTAAGAGGGCAGATTTCGGAGCTAGGCTGGCTCTGCTGCTGACTAGCTATGCAGTTGGGAATCAGTTCTATAACTTTCTCAATCTCTCTGAACCTCAGCCTACTCTTTTGTGAAATGGACATAATATCACCATTTTATGGTGAGCATAGTGACACTTAAACGAGGCAGAAGGGGTCAACTACCTATTGTGGTACCTGCCCCTTATAGGTGTTTAACCCATGATGTCTTTTATTGGTTTAGTCAATGGCAATACAAGGACCGGGCAGTGTTCTTCTACGGCACCTGGTACAGAGCTGGCACGTAGCAGATTGCTTTAGAGACCTTCTTTGCTCACCGTGTTTTGTGTGTTGGGATCCATAATTGGCCTCTTCATTCCTAATTAAACCCCCTGTCATCAGTGGCCCACTGTCACCTCAGGCTCAGGTCAGCCTCACACTAGAAGGAGCTCCAACTCTGGACTAAAGTCTCTCTACATTAAATTTTCTGTTTCAGTCAGACGCTTGGCCTCATCACCCCACACATAACCGGGATCCCTACCGGCCGATAGCCATCTTCTCCCTGTTCTAGCCCATCTGCTCAGTGGGGCCTGTCCTAGCTCCAAACCTCTGACCACTCTGTGCTGGCTCTCCGCCCTGGATCTTCCTAGTAAGGAAGATTGTCATGGTCTGAGTGCCCTCTGCCATCATGGTCTGAGTGCCCTCTGCCATCATGGTCTGGGTGCCCTCTGCCATCTGTTTTGCCACTTCCTCATACTTTGTTATTAGATATTCCAAACCGCAGCCTGAGCCCATTATTAGGCCCATTTTATGTGGGAAGAAACTGTGACGTCAAGAGGTTAAGCAATTTGCTTCAAGGTCCCACAGTTAGCAAATAGAAGTAGGACGGGCCCAGGTCTCCGACTCCAGAGGGTGGTGGCCTTTCACCCAATAACTTCTGTTGCCCTCTGTGGTCCTGCAAAAGATTTCACAAGACAGCATCACACTCCTGTTTACCTTTGACCTGAAGATGGGCAAGTGCGTATGTGTTTGGGTTTTGTGTGTGTGTATGTGTGTGTGTGTAAGCACACAGTAGAGAAGATAGGAAATAATAGGGAGAAACACAAAAGCCAAACACAAATATGGCTTTCTGTGCCAGACCTGTTCCTCTGAGGAGATAGTGCTGTGGAAAGGCGGCCTCCTCAGCCTCTGGTAGGCTTGTCTCCAGAAGCCTTCATGCCGGGGGCCTTCTCCGTAGGAGCTCAGAGCAATGAGAAGCACCAACTCATAGACTTTCGGGAAGTGTCTCACCTTTGGAGTTGTCAACACCTCCTTCCAAAAACTGTCCTAAAACATAATAAAATAAATGTCACCCTTCTGCAGGAAATAACTTGGGCAAGGGTACTGCATTTAAGGCAAATGAATTTGAACCACCACATTCTAATCCTGGGAAACACAACGAAGTCCTCCAATGCAAGGTTCACATTTTCGACCAGGTGTGGTGGCTCACGCCTGTAATCCCAGCACTCTGGGAGGCCAAGGCAGGTGGATTGCCTGAGCTCAGGCATTCGAGACCAGCTTGAGCAAGAGTGAGACCACATTTCTAAAAACAAATAGCTGGGGTGGCGCCTGTGGCTCAAGGAGTAGGGCACCAGCCCCATATACTAGAGGTGGCGGGTTCAAACCTGACCCTGGCCAAAAATTTTTTAAAAAAGAAAAAAATAGCTGGGCATTGTAGTGGGCACCTGGAGTCCCAGCTACTTGGGAGGCTGAGGCAAGAGGATTACTTAAGCCCAAGAGTTTGAGGTTGCTGTGAGCTGTGATAGCACGGCACTCTACCTAGGTGAAAGAATGAGTCTATCTGAAAAAAAAAAAACACAACAACAAGGTCCACATTTTCTAGCTGGCACATGTATGTGGGGCAGAAAGGGGTGAAAAAAATGAAAAAAAAAATTAAAAACGTGCCTGGGACATCAAGCAGCTGAGATGCAGACAGCTTACTTTCTAAGGAGAAGTGCAGAAACTTGAAAAGCTTGGGATTGCCCTTCATGCTTTTTCTGCTTATGGCTTAAGTATTTTGTTACCATCATAATAAGCTATATCATTACTATTATGAATAGCATTTACCCACTCATTGTGTGTGTGTGTGTGTGTGTGTGTGTGTGTGTAGCAACCTCCCCCAATTTCCCTGTTGTTCCCTCTTGTCCCTCTCTTGACAGGTATCCAAACAATGTAGACACCTACAAAGGGGTGTCTGTGCGTGTGTGTCTGTGCATGCACATGCGTGGGGCTGTGCGTTTTATGTGAATGGCATCACACTGCACTGTTGTTCCGCTGCTTCTTTTTTTTTCCTGCCAGTTCCTGCCCTGGGAACACTCATAACAGATTTAGGCTGTTCCTTCTTCAAGGCGCATTCATCGCGTGGACATTGTGTGATGTATTTCTAGTTCTATCATCTTTCTGCCACTACCCACCAATTTGGAATTGGATCGCTGAGGTTTGGGGAATGAGCAGCAGGGGCTCGGAAGGGCTTCCCTGCTGACACTGAGACGCGGCCCATCCTATCTTCTTCTTCCTACTTGAAGGCGGAAGTAGAAAGGAAAGTGAACAGAAATGGAGGGGCGTGGCAAGGAAAAGTAGGTAAGAGGATGATTTGGGAAGTTTAGAATGAGTTAGAATTACAGCTGGCCACCCTAAGAAACCAAGAGAACTTTGGTGTTCCTGAAGTATTTCATGATATATGGCTAGGCATGGTTGCTTATGCCTGTAATCCGAGCACTTTGGGGGCAGGAGTTTGGGACCAGCCTAACCAATAGCAAGACTCCTCTATTTCAAAAAAAAAAAAATTATTTTTAAAGAATTAGTCAGCAGGGTGCACAGCTATAGTCCCAGATACTCATGAGGCTGAGGCAGGAAAATCACCTGAGCCCAGGTGTTTGAGGTTGCAGGGAGCTATGATCGCACCACTGTGCTATATCCTAGTTAACAGAGACCCCATCTCCAAAATAGATAGATGATAGATAGATAATGATATAGAATAGAAATGTCGGGCATTAATATACAGCTTCCTTTATTCCCTGGTGCCTCATTTCAGCTTCTTGTAATCACATAAAACAAGCTCATTTTAGAAAGATAAAACTGCCAGAAAAATAATACAGTGTATCCCTAGCGAAAGGCAAGTGGCTTTTTTTAGATGCCTGCTGGTGTGATGTGATGGTTACGCGCACAGACACAATAGCCCTGTGCCGCAGATGTCACATGCATTATTTACATGTATTTTTGTACTTGATGAGGGGGGAAAGGAGCCCAGCTCTTCCTCTCCTTGTTACTTGGGGGCTCTGAGATCCTAAGGTACCTTACTTAGCTAAGCCTTGGTTTTTCTATCTGCAAGTTGGAATGCTAATAATGACTGTTGGAAATACCAAGTGCAAAATCTGCATACATGTGAATAACACATGTGACCCGTGGCTCACAGAGCAGTCGGGAATATCAAGGGCAATAATGCATGTAAAACCGGTAATTCCACAGTCATAGTGAGCACATGGTATTTTAGCCATTTCCAAAAGAACCAAACCAACCAAGAACTGGCTGGTCTCTGCGGGCCTTTGTTAGAACTTCAGCAGGGACACAAGGAGGGGCTGTGAGAGGAAAAGAAGTGAGACCCATTCGTGTTTGAGAGACCCATGGGAAGGGCTCAGCTAGCCGGTAGAAATAGCCCTTCCTCAGCTGGTGTTTGCTGCCTGGCTCATCCTTTCCCTAACTGGGCAAGAGAACTCTTAGAAAGATCTTTCAGCTCAGTGTTCATCTCCTGATTCTAGGATAAGGACACTGAAGGCCGAGTTCACACCTGTAACCCCAGCACTCCTGGAGCCAAGGAGTGTGGATTGCTTGAGTTTAGGAGTTTGAGACCAGCCTGAGCAAGAGTGAGGTTCCCATCTCTAAAAAAAAAAAAAAACAGCTGGGCATTGTGGTGGGCACCTTTAGTCCCAGCTACCCGGGAGGCTGAGGCAAGAAGATCACTCTAGGCCCAGAGTTTGAGGTTGCTGTGAGCAATGATGCCATGGCACTCTACCCAAAATAACTGAGTGAGACGCTCTCTCAAAAAATAAGAAAAAAATAAAAAAATAATGAGGACACTGGAGTGTAACCTCGTAGGGTTACAGTGAGTATTCGAGAAGCTAATGTATCCTGGCGTCCTGACTCATAGGGAGGGCTCCATACTCATTACCTCTGACTGCCAGAGCCCTCGAGTGGTCACCAGCACCCACTTCCAACAGCTGCAAAATGATGAAGACAAACTCTCCCGTGTTGAGTCCCAGGTTCTCTGCAGCCAGAAGAATAACCTTTGCATCCTCTGAGCTGCAGATTAAGATGATAACTAAACGAACAAAAACCAGAGTCATCCCAGCGCACATACACACTTTCTTTTTAAAGTCTAGCCTATAGCCACTCCAAATGAGACGTGAACTTTCTCTTTCCAGGGCACACTTTAGGAAACAGAACCGGCTCCACTGTTCCCTGAGTGTGTACTTCCTGCACCAAGACTGCTTTTCACAAACTGGGGCCCTTGCCCTGTAGGACTAAATTCTCTGCTGCCGCTCCCCCACAATGAACAAATCAAAAACCTTGAGCTCAGCCCCATGCTCTAGTTGCTTTTCTATAATAGAATCAAAACTCAAAACAGCAGACCTGGCTTGTGACCCATGGGCCACACATCAGTCAGGAGGGGTTGGAGGAGAACCTGGAACCAAGGGCATTTGGACTTTTTGAGTTGAATTGGGGAGTGGGGAAGGAGTAGGCCACATACTTTCCTTCCATCTACATTCTTCCATCTACATACACAAGAAGTAGTGATTTATTTTTCTAATGAAGTAAATTATTACCTATTTATCTGAGTTGCAACCATGTGCCAGGCACCGTGCTAGGCTGAGGATAGAGACTGAGCAAGTCAGAAGACAGACAGCATACAGTCGAACAGATAATGAGATAATTTAAAATTCTCATTAGTGAAGGAGGAAAAGGATGCCATGATACCAATGTGGGGAGGGGGACATTCCACATAAAGAAGGCTTCTCTGAGTGTGGCTCTGGGCCGAGCCTGGAAGGGGTGGGAGGCAGCTACCCACAGGCAGAGTACTGGGAAGGGGGAAGGGTGGTTATGTGTGACACTCTAGGTTAAAGGCCCAGCAGGCCCCAAAGTCCCAAGGCCAGAAAGAGCTTCATTTGAAGAACAGCAAGGAATCAGTTATTAATTCATTCTAGAAAGCATCACCACAGAAATAATTTCTGTCATATGCTGGCCAACTATTTGTCCAAACAGGGTGGTAAGGGTTTCACATAAACGACCTTATTGAATCCTCACCTTTTTGTCAATAAAGGAGCAAGTTGCCTACACCATGATCATCTATCTTTCCAGGATGACAGGGGTGATTTGGGGGGCAGGATGATTATTTCCATTTGGGGCACAGAGGGGTTAAGGTACTTGCCCAAGAAGACAGAGCTAGAAAGCATCAGAGGCTGAATTTCAACCTAGGTCTGTTTGTCTACAGAGCCCATTCTCTGAACAAATAGCAAAATTCAGGCCCCACCCCCCTGAGAGATGCTTCCAGAACTGACTCTGCATCATAACACTGTAACATCGAGGATTTCACTTTAGACAAAAAACAAAACTGTTTTCCTTGGTGATGTCAAGCAAAGAAGGAAATTGCTTTTACAGATCATCGATTTTGTGCCCTGCTTCTGTCTGCTTTCTACACCCGTAGAAAAATGAAGAGTTCTGGCACTTTTTGTTGCTTTTCTTTCCAATCTGCTCGCCTTATTTGCCTCTCCAAGCATAAGCAGCAGAAGACTTTTTCCTACTTACCCCTGGCACTTGATGACACGCTCCTGAGATTCTCTCGAAGGAGGACGGGATTGGTGGTGGCGTACCTGCTGCTGGCAGTGATGGTGAAATGGGATTTGAGTTCCTGCTCTACCACCCTCCACAGTTCATCTACTCCAGCCCAGGAGGAAGTCCCCGAGTAGCCTCCAAACATCCCAATGTGTTTCCAGCCCAGGTACAGGAGACTTCTGTGGAGCACATCACCAAGGTCCTTCCTGGGTGGCACAAGTTTCACGCAGGTGTCATACGAGAAGTGGTCATCCAGTTTCTCCATTTGTCCAACAAAGTCAAACATGGGTATGTTCCACTCAGAGGCCAGCAAGCCAATAACCTTGAAAGTAACCAAAAGGACGTCTTTCCATTACTGAGTTCACGTGCACTCGATCCCCATGGTGAGGTACCCACATAAGGCTCAGAATCGGAGAATCTGTGGGTCATACTGGGCCCTCTCTTGCAGAATATTGATGACAATGTCTTGTAGATGCAAGCCCTCAGAGGACAAAGAGAGCAAGCACCGGCATTTATTGAGTGCTCACTTATGTGCCAACTGCTCTACTAGGAGCCTGCAAATACCATTTCAGTTTTTACATCCCTCTCACCATCAGAAGAGAGAGGGTCTTAAAGTACATCTTGAAGCAGGGAACAACTGAGAAAAATCAAGAACCTAGTTAGTGAGATGAGCGACAGGAATTTAGAGGTTCAAGAAAATGAGATAAAAGGTCTAGGATTCCACCTTCCAAGTATAAGCTTTCTATGAAGATAACATCCTTACATACTTTATATATCCTAGAGGCAAAATTTGTTTTGAACTGTGCTGATATAGAAGTGAACTCAGGCTAGGAAAGTGGTCAAATAACAGAAGCTTCTGGCCAGGCATAGTACCTTGTGCCTATAATCCAGCTACTCAGGAGGGCGAGGTGGGAGGATCACTTAAGACTAGGCCGCCACCAGCCTGGGCAATACAGCAAGACCCTGGGAGACCCTCCTCTTAAAGGAGCTTATGGTTTATTACAGGAACTGAAGTATAGAAAAATGGCTCTAAAGTTAAATATATCCTTCAAGATTTATAGACAACAGATATATGAGAGTTTAGAGCAGTAATAAATTACTTTGGATTGAAGGATTAAGTGTATGGGGGAGGGTAGAGGTGAAGAGATGAAAAAAGGCTCCGTGGCATTTGAGCTTGACTTTGAAGAATGAGTGGGTTTTGGACAGTTTAAATATGTCAAATAGGGAGAGACCAAAATTCAAATTCAAATATGAACTTCATTCTATGGCTCTAAAATGGTAGTTCTACAACATTTTTGAGAGTGAGACCTGTGGCGCTTGTTCCCATTTGCCTTTCACATCAACAAAGATAACCCACTAACCAAACACAGGCATTCACTTCCCTCCTGTGCTCGCTCAAGTTGATGTAAACGCTCATACTTCAGTCTTTTCCATTTGATTTCACCGTCACTGGATAATTTACTACACACACCAAAGAAAAATCTACTCCGTTGATAGTTTTCTATTCAAAACCAACCATTTGTTTTCTTCTTAATTTTTCTGAGCCGTGTAGCTGACAACATAAGAGTGAATAATTACAGTCTAAACACAACAGCGTGAGGCTCCTACAATCAACAAAAGGAGGAAAAGGGTGAATGAACTAACATTTACTGATTTGAAAGCTTTTCTTTAAAGAGAACGTAACTGTTGTAATTACATGATCTAATTACATCTTTAGAAAAGGTACCCAAGATCTACATGGTTATTTGGTATAAGAATGTAATCCTTGTCAAGAGATAATTCAAATCTGTCCTATTATCTTTAAGACCACCCCTTCCAGTGAAAACTCAGACCGATTCTAGAAGGTCATGTACTCTACCTCTGCTGCTTCTGGGCATGCTGGTCCAAACAGGGCAGAAATCTGTTCTTTCTGGACCTGGTTGATGAAAATAGAAAGATATTCCTTGTTGCTGCAGGCTGAGTTGGTGTAAGTGAACTCCAGAGTGAAGTTACCAAAGTCCATTGGCTCTGCGTTGACGCTGTCCATGGCAATCTGGAGGCCTGCCCCAAGCCTTTGCACACTGAAGGGATGAGAGATGTTCCAAGGGGCCTGGAAACCTACAGTGAGCTTAGCAGCCTCCAGCCAAGTCACCAGCACACTGGTGAATAGCATCAGAACTAGCCTTGGGTGGTCAGCATGGCACTTGACACCCAAGTAGACCCCAGATTTGAGTGAGGCCTCAAGCCCCGTCCTGGGAGCCATGGATGGCATCTAATATACCTGTGTCACTGCAGAACTCTGAGAGGCTCAGCCTCCTGACCACTCAGGCCAGAAACTTATATGACAGAGTAGAGTTCCCTGAGGACCACAGCTTGCTTTCTATTCAGTGCTGTTAATTAATCAAAACCCTCCCTTCTCAGAATCTGCCTTAACACAATCTAGAAGCAGCAGTCTTGCAGAAAGATGGCACAATAGACTTGCTATGATTCCCTGGACCACCTACATCATTCTCCCAATGGCTAGAAATATAGATTCCAGGGCCCCACTTCAGACCCTGAGCCAGAATGTCTTCGGGTTGCTATGGAAATCTGTACTTAACAGATCCCATATATCCCTAAGTGCATTAAGGTTTGAGAACCCCTGACAGCCTAAAGTAAGAAGTGGGAAGAATAGCCGATAGCTGCTCCTTATTTCTCTTCCTTCCATAGCAAGCCCCAGGACAGGATTAGTGTACCTTAGCTCCGGCCTAACGCCGAGGGCCATTTCTAGACCCATGGATTACAGGGGTTGCTTTCCTCCAAACCAAAATCACCACAGATGTTTCCGCATTGTGCTTCAGATTGTCTCTCTCCTCTGCCAGGACAGCTTAAGATCAATTTGCAAAATTATGTGTCCAAAGACTGTCTCATTCTCATAAGCAGAATTCCATGGATCTTTTTGGCTCAGATGCTTACTCACCAAATGTATATAATCCTGCATAAGTCAGTTCAATCTGTTCCTTTGTTTTCTGAATCTTAAAATGAGCATAGTAACACCCTCCTTACACATGTGAGATTGCATAATTAGTTAGCATAGCACCTCACATTTAGTAGTGCTATTAATGAGTGTGTTGGTCCAAATTCGGATCTCAAAACTGGGATGCTAGGAACAATATTTTATTATGCATTCCATGTCCCCTCTTCCCCTTCCATATACTAGTCATTTGATTTGAATTCCCACTCTGGGTAAATTTTTATTCTTTGTGTTTACAGATTGCTTTTCTCCTGAGAATTTGGGGCCAGGTGGCTGTGTGTGTCTCTGTGCATATCCTCAGATCTAGCACAGTGTTGGGCCTTTCATCATGCAAATTAACATCAATCAAAATAAGTATTTTGTATTGTCAAGTGCTTACAAGTGAGTATGGTCAAAACCAGAAGAAAATACCAATAATGTCAAGTGACACTGAGAGTTTAAGAGACAGACATATTCTGCTGGTAGGAGTGTTGATAGCAGTTTTTCAATATGCATCTAAGCCTTATGAATTTCTGCAGATTGGACTCAGAAATTCTGATTTGGGGAACATATTCTAGGCAAATAAAACCATATGATCAGATTTAACTAGTGTTATCGCTAACAGTGAAAAATTAAGCACAAACTTCATGTCTAACAGTCGGGGCCTGGAGAGATAATGTGTGATGAATCCACAGACTAAGTAGCATGTAATTGTTAAACATGACATTTATTCTCCTAGAAATATAGCCACAGTGTATTGTTAACATACAACAAAACATTTAGTTGGGTTTTTTAAAGCACATAAAGTTACATAGAAAAGATTATGAACACCAAACCACTAGAAGTAGCTCTGTTGTGGGATAGGAATTATGAGTGGGTTTTTTTCTTTGGTTATCTTAACTTTCATGTTTTTGGCTCTTCATGTCTTTGCAATACAAAAGAAAAGCGAATTCAATTTCAATTATTTTAATTGAAAAGAAACCTTCCAGGTTTGTACTTGTGGAAGGAAAGCACAGGGGTTAAACTTGTGCTGCCTTAATTCCTGAGGTCAAGAGTACCCCCACTGGTCTGGGTGTCCTCCCCCACTTCTGGACACCTGACCTACCTCTGTGGGCCGTAATTATTCTCTGCTGAGCTTAGCTCCTTTGGTTTCTTCATTACCATTAGAGACAGATGCAGTGGTCCAGGTAATCGCCATCATTGGACAGAAACCATTGCCATAGTTACAGGCCCAATTTGTGTGATGCATTCGAAGGGCTGGAGAGTGGAAAGGCCTGAGGTGAAACCGAGGCTGGGGGCTAGGTAGGGACCATGGCTGCTGGAGTAGGTTTGCTGTCTTCTAATTTGCTTCTCCAGCTCTTCTCCCTTTTGGGGGCCCTTTATACCTAGAAGTTACCAGGAGGGTTGAGAGAAGCCACGTGATTTCAGCAGACAATGCTTCGGAACACAAGTCATCTATGCTCAAGCCAGCAAGGGTTCGAAGCATGGCCTCCTACATGACTGGGGGAGTTCTTTGATTCCGACTTTATCCCATCTCTGTTTCCTGAGCAGACTATTACAGATGCTTTTTTCTGCCTGTTTTATGGTTTGCTCAGTTCTGACCAGCCTACTCCATAAACCAGATATAGGGCCAGCTGTTCAGCATCTGAGATGAGATAAGTTTAGCAGAATCCAGGATGGGAGGGTGGGTTTTAGTAAAACCTCCAGTGTGTTCACAGCTGCCCTTCCTCCCCACCTCCCTGTCCCTTACTGATTTGTAAATCCGGAGCCTAATCAAATTTAGAGGGAAAAGTGAAGATTGGAATGTGTGGGTTCTAATTTTCCTCCAGGAAGCAGGTAAGAGGCAGAAAAAGGTATCTGACCTGCTTAGGAGCCAGTGATGGGGCTCATAATACCCTGGAGGAAGACCACACACGTTCTCTAGCGCCAAGTGGTGAGAATGTGGGAAGGATCTAATTCAGGCTTTCCCAGTCACTAAGACTGCACCCAGCCTCAGTTTCCTTATCAGTGAAGTGGGGAGATGTCAGAGGGCAGGCACATCTGACCTCACCAGCTTCTTGCCCTAAGATCCTAGGACTCTGGTGAACCCCTAACCAACTACTCAAATACAGCCCTCCCGTAGGGAGCAGGAGTGGGGACACTGTGTGGGGCCCACAAGTTTCTTTTCAGGTCTAGGTTACATGAACATACCTGAAGGTACAGCCCACCTGGCACGGACCATCCCAGAAATAAGAGCAAGTATAGTGGCCTGTTCAAAGGCCCCCTGAAGGCTCTTGCAAACATCTGCGATGAAGTAGTGAAGACAAAGCTCTGCTAGGACAAAGTTTGAGGAGCCACAGAAAGTGGACTTAAGTTGAAACTGGGAGATCATCTGTCTTAAATCTGCAACAAGGCAAATTCTTCACTATGCAAAAGCTGCCTTGATAGTTAACCATGCACACACTCGTCCTAGAAAGCCGGGCGTAGTCCTGGCCATCACGGACTAATGAGAACACTCTGGTCTTGTTTCTGAAAAGGTTTGTGCAACAAGAAGGGAATCCCTCCCTCTTGGGCTGCCTAGCCATCTCCTGTGTCCCTCAGCGCGCTGCTAACATAGACTCTTCCACACGAGAAATGGGTCTTTAACATGTGAGTGATTGCTTCTGAAAAGCTGTGGCTTCTATCAACAATCAAGCTTTTTTCCTGGCTGCCAATATAATCTGAAGCACAGCAAGTTGGTCCGGCATAAATCCCAGATTTCTGAATATGTATGTCATAGTCTTTGTTCATGGATAACTGCTCGTCCTGTCCTATCTCCATAAAGCCTTAGCATGAAAAGTAAACAATTTCCATAGGTAGGAGGAGGGGAGACGACTACCTGTTCCAGGTGCTCAATATTCAGAGACATGGAAAGATTAACAGGGATTCATTAATTACCAAGCCACTAGCCATGAAATTTTAGGTTTTCCAAGAACACCTTTGTTGTCAGTGTCTCAGACACAGAATGAGTAAAAAAAAAATCCTAATATGTGTACATCTTTCTTGGGAATGAGACACTTTTGACCCTTGTATGTTTCTCCATCTGCGCCAATCAGCAATGTCTGTGACACTAGGCATAGGAGCTTCTTTCTGGTGGTAGCAATCTAGCAGGTGTGTCCAACCTGAGGCCCATGGGCAGAATGCAGATCATGTGAGAACTCTTTTGCTTACCTGGTGTGGCAGGCATCATGAACTTTTCCACGGACCTTTCTTTTTTGCTCCCCAGCTTGTGTTAGTGTTAGTGTATTTAATGTGCGGTTCAAGACAACTCTTCCTCTTCCAGTTTGTTATGAAGAAACCAAAAGATTGGACACCCCTGCGAGGCAGAGCTGGGCACAGTGTAAATCCTAGCACTCTAGGAGGCCAAGGTGGGAGGATCACTTAAACTCAGGAGTTGGAAACCACTCTGAGTAAGGGAGAGACCTTCTGTAGTTCCAGCTAATTGGAAAGTTGAAGCGGGAGAATCACTTGAGCCCAGGAGTTTGAGGTCACAGTGAGCTCTGATGATGCCACTGCACGCTAGTCTGGGTGACAGAGTAAGACTTTGTCTCAAAAAACAATAATAATAAAGTGAGGCAAGATTTCCATTCTGGTGCCTCCACGCTCTTCAGCTTCTTGTCTGGAGGGACCAGAAGCCCTCTCCTGGCATTCCCTCTCTGCTCTTGCTAAAGGCCTTGAACTAGCTCACTAGCCAGGCACTCCATATGGTTCTCCCCACACTGTGAGCCCGGAAACCAAGGCAGCAAAGCCAAAGATGTTATTCTTAAAAGCTTGGCAAGGAGAGAATGATTGGCATCTCCCCACCCCCCAGTACTGATCTTCCTATCTACGGTGCAGGAACCACAGCTTCTCCCCACCACCTGTAGGAGGCAGTGTTGCAGAGTGGTTGGGAGCACAGGTTTGGGAATGAGAAAAGCTGGCTTGGACAAGTGGTAAATTGTCTGAACCCAATCTCCTCATTTGTAATTGCCCTGCTGACCTTATACGACGATTAAATGAGATAATAGATGTAAAGTGCACAGCATGGTGCCCGGCGCCCACCAGTAGCCAGTACTTGGTAGCCGCTTTAGAATGAGGGCTGTTGCTTCAGGCTAAAGGTCATGAACTCTGTGGGCTGGATTCTGTATTAACCCAAAGGAACAAACTGATGTTGCTATAGAAACCAGAGAAACATCGCTGGTACTGGTTCCTGAAGATGTCTGGATTTAAAGCTTCTAATGTCAGCTTGCACACGCATATTTAGCTTTCAAGAG